ACCAAGACACAGCGCGGGCATAAAGTAACAGTGTGATCAAATAGGAATTGATGCAGTCACTTTATAGTATTGGTCTTCAGTAACCCATGCTTGTCGTAAGAGGCGACTAACGAAATCAGGTGGTCAGGCTCGCTGACTTGGTTAACACATGTCATCGTATCCCAATTGCGTAGATCGATGCTCATGCTGTTGATCACTGGATTGTCTGGTCAGATTCGATTATTTACAGACCGCCGCCATATAGCTGGAATATTGGTGGTGCGGCGTAAAAAACAACTACCAACCAACCTCTTGATAGTAGAACTTGAATTAAATGACCACCTCAAACAAACCCTCCATGTGCTTTATAGACAAGATAGTCCACACTTTGCTGACAAAATGACTCATCATCGTCCATTTGCAGAACGTCTTCGAAACAAAACCATGGCCGTATATAGTAAGGAGCCTCTATATAAACCGCCCCGAACATCTTGGGAGGCTGTCTTGGAGGCCAGGTTCGTGCTAGAGATCCTCCTGTTAGGAATCTAGAGACTGACTGACTGAGTATGGTTTTACGCCCTGTTAGCAATATTCCTGTTAGGTATCCACGAGGAACTGCAGGGGAGTTCCATGTTGTGAGCTCCACGCTTGATACGGCCAGTATGAGCGGGAGACTGGTTGATGCTGTCTGTACCAGGGATGGGTACACCAGGTACTGACGTGGAAGCTGGTGGTGGTTCATGCAATCACAACCATCAATATTTCAGAACTGTGTGACGATCAGTTTGGTGGCGTAGTCACACTTTCCGCCATTGCTGATATTCATGCTTTTGCATAGTCCTCTCCGATTGCAAGTAAATTGTTATACCAAGTTTCAATTTCAGTTTTGTTTTTGTTTTAGTAAGAGTAAAATGTGTTATATTTACCAGTTCAAAGCATATTCAAATGAAACGGTTATTTTTTTACTTATACCTAAAAGTGGGTGCTGCGTCATTAACGCTCATGTGTATATTTAGCTACACTTATTTGATTGTAAAGTGTAAAATGCACACACGATAATCAGACAACTGGCTGGCTTGAGTGAAGTCTGAACCTTGTGTTCTAGGCTCACCATAGACCTCCGACACAGATCAAAATATACATGAAACCAATACTGTTCCTCTTTCTACACTTCGCGTGTTGTCATCGACACTGAAATATGTTCTGGAAGTAACGGGTAGATACTCATACTGTGTAGGACGGTGCTTCCGTTGGGCGTTTTTGCATCTGTGTGTGCGCGCGTGCGTCCGTGTGTGTGGATTAATGCTCGGTGTTGGGCTAAAGAAAGTATTCACTTGGAGGTTTTACGAACTCGGCTCTGGACAAAGGAGACATCATTTACATCATACACTGCGTAGTGTCACTAGGACCATCATACCGCAAGATACATAGGAAACAGACAAGACACGAAATCTACTACTGTTTCTGAAGTATGGAAAGAGTCATCGGGGTAGCTAGATCATCAAAGAGAGGGAAGGTCGGTGTTTTCATCCCTGAAGCCGTGGAAGTATGGAAAGAGTCATCGGGGTAGCTAGATCATCTAAGAGAGGGAAGGTCGGTGTTTTCATCCCTGAAGCCGTGGAAGTATGGAAAGAGTCATCGGGGTAGCTAGATCATCTAAGAGAGGGAAGGTCGGTGTTTTCATCCCTGAAGCCGTGGAAGTATGGAAAGAGTCATCGGGGTAGCTAGATCATCTAAGAGAGGGAAGGTCGGTGTTTTCATCCCTGAAGCCGTGGAAGTATGGAAAGAGTCATCGGGGTAGCTAGATCATCTAAGAGAGGGAAGGTCGGTGTTTTCATCCCGTTTGCGGATTACCAAAAGAATTTAAATGATGGCACTTGTTGTTAGCCTGCCTTGTGCTCTGTATTAAAGGGGCACTGATCCAGAGCGATTAAAGTTTCGCACCACCAATCTAATTACGTCAAGTTGTCAGCCAATGCTTCTTCGACCGTGACGGACACGGGGATTGGGCAGCCGTCCACCTAGGTAGAATTTCTTCAACCTAAACAATGGGACAATAAGAACGGTGGATAACCATCAGATGCCGTCATCTGAAAATGTGCCCGGTAGTTCTTGTCTGATTGTAATAGAGTATCCCAGCACTGTAGGTTTTTCTGATTTTCTGATGCGTGGATGGTATGATGACTGATCCAGTTTGATCCTATTTCGTGATTTTTACCTCGATATTTCATCATGTCAAGTAACAATGTGATGTTTATTGACCTATGCTATTAAAAACACATTTGATATACATGTATTTGAATCCGTAAACTAAACCAATCCGACATTACAATATTGCCAGAAAAATCTGAAAATTTACTTAGGCAAATAGGTATATAAGTTTTTACCTTTAGTACACAGCAAATGCTTATGTTTTTCTTTTCAACAATGCAGTTCCGTTCGTATCCTCCAAACACCGTCGACCCCGAACTATCACTAGTTATATAACGTAATATACATTTTTGCACATTAGACTGTTAATGACACGACATGGAACAGGTTTCTTTGTCAGCTGCAAATGAATGGCGTATCGTAAGTTTCTGTTAGTATTGATACATTCCTCGAACAAGGTTCTATCACTTTAGTCGGTTGGGTTGTTTTTTTTCATTTGTTGTAGCATTCAGCAGAATCATTCCACTTCATTTTTTTAGCCGTGAAAATCGATGGGACTGACAACATACACTATGTCGCAATCTGGGCGTGTGTGTGAAATATGATTTACGTCGGCAATCCATAAAATGTCTAGATTTTTCAGTCATGTTATTAATTCACTAAAAACAGATCGTGTACTTTTTATGAAGTGCATAAAAAATGCATAAAAATATAATGATCAATTCAATAGGATTATTAGACAAAAACATAAAGACGTACATTGACTTGGGTTTTTATTTTCAGTCCTAACATTTTGTGTCACTGACAGATGAAGTTAAACTTCAAATTGTGTTCATTTGTTATCAGAATAATGAAGATGGAAATATAGATTAGTAAAAAAAGATTTCATCTTTGTTGATCAATTTAAGGACATACATATTATACTTATGCTACCAACTGCGCTTGCGGAGATCGCAAGGAAGTCAAGAATTCTGGGATATCATGCGGGTATTCCGGGGGGAAAACAATTACAAATGCAACAACCAGTCGCGGAAGACTACTCTGGATCAGTGTCCCTTTAACATCTGACTCAGCAATATTCACCCATGTTGTATGGGGGCAGTATGTACATAGAGATTTGTTGCTGACAACCATATTGTGTCCAGTGCTTACAACTTGTGACAGGAACATTATGTGAAATTCATGTGTGAAATCCATGGTTTAGGTAAAGAGGTTTTACGTTAGTGTAAACAGCTGGACAGATCGAGATGGACCACTCCAAACACCTGATGGCCTTATAGTATGGAGAACTCATGTCTCAAACTACTACGTGGATAGTTTCTCTGGGTGTGAATGGAAATGTGCAAAATGAGTACAAATAAAATATTGCCATTTGTTTCACAAGTGACATTTGAAGCATTTCCCCCACACAAAGAATGCACACATATTGATGTTCTCCCCTGTACTATATCAGCAGGGAGCAAGGTGTTTAATGCTGCATTAACCTCCCAGGAGAGTCCATCCATAACATGAGGTCATGATGACATATATACATCTTTTATTGCACCACTGAGAAATATATATACAATCACTGTGTTGATACTACCAATGAATTAAGTGAAACCGCCTTCAACTATCATAAGCATGAAGGCAAGAAAGAGGGAATGGATGACATGTGTGGGCCCAGCTCCAAAACAACTTAGACCTGGATTGACCTGTCTGTCATTGGTGGTAGCCACAGTTTCTGGCTGATTGATAGCTCAAATGTCTGTATTGATGTCCTCTCTGGTGCCACTAGACTAATGCTTAGTCTCTGAATATATATAATTTTGATAGTAACAAACAAGTGCATTTAAATTGAAAAGGAGCCCCAGGGAGACCAGAGATTCAGAACCTGAGGAAATCTAGACTTCCTTTATTGAGAGCTTTGGCACTGCAGAGAGGCTTGGCAGTAGGGAAAATAATGTGGTTCAGGGACTGTGAGACAGACTATGATGCCACTGACAGCTTATGTCTTTTATCCCGACATCTGTGTCAGCTCCATACCTACAATGCCAGATACCATCCCACACTCGGTTATGTTGGAAAGTGTGCATATAGAGGATACTAAACGGTAATACCATTTTTATTAAACGAATTCATGATTTGGTATCAAACAAGCGAAAACGCGTTTAATACTAAGTCATTCACGAGTTTTATAAAAATGGTATTTCAGGGAAGCGAGTTTAGTATTCTGTTTATTACTCTCCAACATAAATTGATAGAAACTGTCTAAAGTGTGATGACTTCAGTCAAGTAAGGTCTGATACCATTGTGACAGAGGTATTAGCATTGTGTCGTCATAACTGTAACCATTATGAAGTCTTATGTTTGGCGGTATTACACTAGTGTAATACTGCCATAAAAATATTACACTGCAGTATCAAACACAAAAATGTGCACACATACACATTTCTAATCAAATAAACATTTGCATTGAACTGTTTTCTCATGTGACATTTATATATTATCCACGCTTTATTTTCACATTAACATATGCATGTCAAGGACCACTTATACTTATAAAAATTTATAGTATAGCAACAGTATTAAGATGATATATACAGACATACCTTGTCCAGTTATTTGATGCACCAGGAATGAGTCTAATGGTAGGAGGTTCCATAAACTGTGTGTGTTTGATCATGTGAACCCTGATAAATCCTTACGGCTGGCGACCCGTGAAGATCCGGGGTAGAATAGGTCTTCAGCAACCCATGTGCTGGCCATAAAAGGCGACTATGCTTGTTGTAAGAGGCGACTAACGGGATCAGGTGGTCAGTTTTGCTGACTTGGTTGACACATGTCATCGGTTCCCAATTGCGCAGATCGATGTTCATGCTGTTGATCACTGGATTGTCTGGTCCAGACTTGATTATTTACAGACCGCCGCCATATAGCTGGGATATTGCTGAGTGCGGCATAAAACTAAACTCACTCACTCACTCCTTACTGCTGGCACATCTCACATGAAACAGATCTGCGAACATATTCACTAAGAACCAAATATCAAGAATGGAACAGAAACCAATATCAGAGAAATGAGACCAGCCTCACAAATATCTGATATGGATCAATCTGAGTTCATCAAAAACTGGAAATATGATCAGAAATGACACTTCCTGCTACCAGAGCCCATGCCCGGTAATAATGAAGCTCTTCGCGAGTTGATCTGGTAGAGATCTGCAGACAGTGACTTCACCAGTCACCTTCACAACTATATCAGTCCTTCACAGTGTCCTGCTCAATCAACTTTTCTGTTGTCTCACTGTCATGTTTTTCACATCAGACCCTTTGAATCTGTATCTGGAATTTACCTGAAACAGTCACAATTCATCTGAATTATAATTTGCTCAGTGTAGTAGACAGGGTCAGTTTTCTGTTTGAGATCTCAGTTCTGTCTAACATGTTTTGCTACAAAATATTCTAGGATCTGCTACGATATTTTCTACCTGCGTCTTATGCACGCAAAGCATTTTGTTTTCTCGGAACAAGTAACCGAAAAATATATCTTCCCCAAGGAAGATTCTTTCAGCTAATTTGACTTGCGAATGATGACAAGATGCTCTGAAATGCAAGGAAATATCATCTAAATTTCACACACACACACACACACACACCCACACCCCCTAGAGAGATCTTGCTGCTTTCAGGATGTTTATCTGTATAACTACCATGTACTGTACAGGTGCCAAGGTCATTTCCAAGTTGTCAGAATCATCATTTTCACTTGTTACACACATCATTTTCACTTGTCTAAACCTGTAATTATTCTAAACACCACTGAGCATGCTGAACGACAGGACAGCTAATTGCAGTAGGCTTACATGCTGGCATGGCACTGACGTCGGCAGTAACTACTATACAGTTGATTCCTAGGTTAGACAGAGCTCCTCGGATCAGACCACAGGGGAAAGCCAGGTACTGAAACACAAGATAACACATTAAGCGAGAATTTCGGAAATATGGGCTTGTAGGGTCCTTTCTCTACCTGGTCAGACATAGCTCCTCTGTTTAGAATCAATAGAAATATCAATGCAGCAACAGCATCCGACTATAGCGATCTGCCAAATATACTAAGCAGCAAAAGAAATGTCAGTTTGGAATTTTCCTTCGCAGAAACGGATAACTATAAACTCATTTAATGTTTTGATTGTATATTTTTGACAACATCTCCAACTTTACCTGAGCAAAGACATTCCTTCCCAAACTCAGAATGGAACCCAGGAAATGGTCTCAAAAACACAACCTGATCTCGGAGATGGTGCAGTGTTCTCCATGTTCTTCATGCAACTCATGCTGCACGTGCTGTTCACAAGGACCAGCCCTATAAAATGCACCCACAAACCTGGTTGAAACATTCACATTACAACGTCAGCAGGATGCCGTCACTCACGACAGCTCAGAGGAACCAGGCGCTAGGAAGACTTGAAGCTGGCCACACTGCACAAGCCGTTGCCAATCACTTTCAGGTCAACATTCAGACCATCTACAGGCCGCAGCAACGTTTCCGGGCCATCAACACCACAAATGATCGCCCCCGTACTGGCAGACCAAGGGTGACGACAAGACCGCCATGTTGTGCGACAGCATGTACAGAATCCCTTCATGCAGGCATCCGAAACAGCACGCCAGACAGTGGGAACACACTGAAGACCAATCAGTACTGATACAGTATGCCAACGTCTTAACAGCCGGAACCTCACTTGCCATAGACCTTACCGCGTCTACAGTTTACACCAAAACTGGCGATACAGGCAATGGAGAACTGTTCTGTTCACAGATAAGAGTCAGTACTGCATATCAACTGCAGATGGCAGAACAAGAATATGGCAATGACATGGCCAGCGTTACTCAGACCACTGTGTTATGGAAAGAGACTCATGGGGAGGTGCGAGCATCATGGTATGGGGTGGGATAGGCCTGAACTAGAAAGTGGGTCCTGCGGTGTTCCAGAACCTTGGTCCAGGGAGAGGAGGCGACATCACAGCGTTGCGCTAAATCGACCAAGCTCTCAGACCCCACGTCATACCACACTTCGCACGTCACCGGAACAACATTTTCCAGCATGATAACGCCCGGGCCCATACTGCCAGAGCTACACGGACTTCCTACAGCAGAATGGTGTCAACATTATGCAGTGGCCGGCCCTTAATCCTGAATTATACCCAATTGAACATTTTTGGGATGAAATTCAGAGGAGACTGAATAATGTCATACCAAGGCCAATTTATTGCGCCAGGCCTTTCTCAGAGTGTGGTTCCAGGTGCCAATGGCCTTCATCAATCGATTGGTGCACTCCATGCATAGACGCTGTGCTGCAGTTATTGCCGCTCGTGGTGGTCACACTAGATACTGAAGTCAAGAGTCTTAATGGACTGCAAACGTTCATGTAATGTCTTGTAATTGTGCTGAGTTATTCATTGATGTGTCAAGATATTGTACACAAAAAATGTTTTTCATCCGCTTATTATGTCCATTTCTGTAATGATTTGATTACAGTGCCTATCTAATTTTGAATTCTTACTGACAGGGGTTTTTTTGCTGCTGAGTATATTTCATGTATAGAATTACGATAAAGACACGCTCAAAGACCATTTTCCTGTAGTGTGAAAGTCTTTTGATAATAAATTTGATGTCCAAGATATTTTTTATGGATTAAACTTCATAAAAAATATCTTGGACATCAATGTACAACTTCTAAATGCCACTGAAAGACATCAATAAATTTGATGTTAGTCCTTGTCATGGAGCTTTGCTCCTGAGATTATCGTATCATTAAATTAAAATAAAGAAATACTAGGAAATGTGGTAAAAGTTCACAGGTTCATTTTTAGCAGTAAACAGTATCCCAAGACAAGCAATCAAAGGGATCAAAGCCCAAATCAACAACGACGAGGATTATTGACCAACAAAACACCAGATGATTAGCTGGGCACCAAAAAACCATGATAACTAATAACAGCACACTCTGATGAGACAATCAATAAGATGGAAAGACAGCTAACCCAGTCAGCTGTGGCTAATTATCAACAACCAGACATGTACAAATCATAAGGTGTCAAAAATTACCATAAATACATAGGAAATATCTTCATAGAACAATCAAAGTTAACATTACATCTTCTATAAAGTATAGGCTTGCCTAACCATACAAAGTAATGTACTTCACAACAATACATGATGAAAGTATGTGGTTTAACTGTCAGCAATAAATTAAAGGACAACAAAGTCTTAATGAAGTCTAACAAGCATAATGAAAAACATATGTCAAATTTGTGATTACACCTTTTCAGTAAAGTACAGATTCTAGTGTGATCACTATCTAAATGCAGGGCTCGATTTAAGAGATGTTAACCTACTTGCACTAGGTGCAACCTAAGATAAAAACCTAGTTGCACCAGCCAAATTCCAGTTGCAGTGCTTTTACTGCAATATGTAATGAAAGAAATATGCTATTGAATTATTCAAAGTTTAGAAGAAAAATTACCTAACATAATTATGCTTGTAATGTTAAATTTATTGTTGATATATTTCTAAAAAAATGACTTGCACCTGGTGCAAGTTAGACAAATAACTAGGTTGCACTTTGTAATATTGGGATGCAAGTAACAAAGCACTAAATCCAGCCCTGAAATGACCTTGTGTATTCAGAAAAAATGATGCCGTGCTGAGCCATGACTGCCTGTTGGACATTGATGAGGGTCTGAGGCACTACAATCACCAGATCATCAAATGCATTGTTTTACAACCCAGGGAGATTCCACATAAACAAACACAACATTTTGAGTTTTTTGCTGCAGGTGAAGATGAAGAACTACAAAATGCAGAACATACCTATGTCAAGAGCTGCTTATTTATCAAAATGTGCTGTTTAAAAAATTACATCTGGCATTTTGTCAAAATGTTCAGTTAAGTTCACAAAACATTCTGGATGGCTTTGTACCTCTTTCAGCTTGCTCAGAGGTACAATATTTACTAATGCAAACTTGTTCTCATCACTATATGGCTGGAAAAATGCCGATGTGACGTAAAGCTCAATTCAACTCAACTCAACTTCAGCTTGCTCAGCCAACATGAAATTCTGCCTAATTTTCATCTCCTATTGTCCTTATTCTTTTCAGACTTACCTGTAACTTTTTCAAAACTTCAAAATGTTCTGCTGTTTATCAAAGAAAAAAATTCTCCAAGTTTCTTGATATGTACCGGTATCACATTAATGCCAAATTAGTATAGTTCTTGACACAAGCATTAATTCACTGGCTCTTACTTTTCCTCACCGAAAACCATAACATCAAAACCCTTGATGCATCCAAATGCTGACAAGGCTACTTACTTTGGGTGCTGCTTCCATGTACTGTTTACCATTAGACAGCTGGGTCAGGAACTTAAAGCGATTATCCTGTAGCACGTACACTCCCTGTAAGATCAAGAACATAATGACAAAAGTCCTGATGTTTGGTAAGGATATACAGAAGGCAGGGAAACATTGCAGTCAACATTCCTATACATCTGAGGTTAAATGGGATTTAATATCAGTTTCAAGAATATTTCATTTATATTGCGACAAGCATGCATATGTATGTATAACATCTTGTACGAGTCCAGACAATGCTGGTTTTATAGTCCAACTTACCTGATGATTTGTGCGAAGATTGTCCACCTGTTTCTTATATATGGCATTCCAGAATTCTTTACACATAAACTTCATCGTATCAAGCTCATCCTTAAATCTGGAAGTCTCCTTAGTAAACCTACAAAATTACAAAAAGTTTGGTAAATAAACTACTGCAACTGTCAGGAGGTTATGTTTAGGAGGCTTGCATTGTTGTGAACATAGTAAACTTAGCAGAAGTTATTGGAGACTCAATTATACTTGTTACAGACTGTAAGAACTATTTCTTACCTTTCAATGAGACTTTGTCCAACTCGAAAACCAAGTGACTCCAGTTTAGAAATGCAGTGATCCTAAACATATGAGAAGTACATGTAATTTAACTATCATGTCCATGTTAAACAAAGACATTGTAACTATTTAATTGTGTTTGGTTTCATGTTTAAATAAAATTTTATCCCTTTATTAGCATTGCAAACATGGAGGAAGTTTGAAATTACTCGCATTCCTTTAGGATAGATCTAAACATCTTGGTTATTTGGACAAACAGCCTTTAGAAAAATGCATGATTATCTGTGTGATTTAACCACATGAGTCAAACATCCCATGGACAGCAGACACTGGCACTGTTTATGGGGGTATATCATAACTACACCATCATATTTGTTGCTTGTGTGTAATTTTTTAAAGTGCACTCAGCATATTCAGCAATATTACACCTATATGAAGGTGGACTGAAATAGCCAAATCTTTACCAGACAAAAACCAACAAATCAAACATGTATGCAATGTAGTTCTGTCAAGGGACAAAGACACCTAATCAATCCCGGTCATTTCATGATTAAAATATTTACACAGCTCACTATTTGTGATGAGGGAGGAGTGCAAAGAGAGGAACAGCCAGGTGTGTGAGAAAGGATGGAGACGGCAGAGCACAGGAGAATGAATCATTAACTTTGTCGGCACTTGTGCACATGCTTCGTGTACACCTGGCTGTCCCTCTCTTTGCACTCGTAACAAATAGTGAACTGTGTCGAAATTTTAATGATAGTTTGTTTAACAACTTTTTTTATTTTTAGGACATAAATTCTGCAAACAACTCACAGAGTTGGTCTGATGTTTTGACTATGATCAGCATTTCATTGAGTATTATATGCATATTAGTTTTCGAGTTAGATTGCAATTAATCTGTTCGCTTTTGAGCCAAACGGACTATACTAGCAAAGGTGAAGTGAGGTGAAATTGGGTTTAACGTCATGCTTGAGAATATTTCGCTCATATGACGATGTGCATGCGTGTGTATGTGTATGTGCGGCTGCTTGTACTAGCCCAGACGTAAGCTGGTTTTATTGTGCTAGCCCACTGAGATACCATGCCGCAGTGAAGCATGAATACCCCACTCAGACACATTATACTGACTCCAAGCCGACCAGTCCTTGTTGTACCCGTGCGCGCCCCTATGCGCCAGGCAGGGACCGACAAGTACCATATTTTAACGTCTTTTGGTATGACGCAGTCGGGGATCTTTACTGATACTGAAGGTGTCATATAGGGTACAGAAAGTATGCACACCTGGTAACATTCTGTATTACCTAAATATACTGAAAATAAAACTGGAAGGAATAAACATACCCTGGTTTAGCAGTGTAATATATGCTTGACACAAGTGGGAATTGTGCGAGACTGGTATGAAATTCTTTCATCAATCAAAATCTGCAGTTTTCTTTTAAGGTGGAAACTCTGGATATTGTTCCAGACATTGCCAAGCTTTGACAGATTTTGTGTCCCCAAATCAATATATTTGACCTTACAGCCACAGTCATGTAGTTCAAAGTTATAAGGCTACATGTATAAATAACAGAGAAGCAGCTATTTCGATTTTACACTGAAAACATAAGGAAAACACAAGCACGAGTGTCAACATTTTTGAGAATTTCCCTACGTTTCTGCCTGATCAAAGGTTTAATGCAAGATTATGGAGTTATTACATATCTGCTATAGGCATGCACATATTATCATTTCGTTAAGGCTTATAACCTTTTCATCTTTTGAGGCTGTCCTGTATATGTGAGACACAAGTTCCATGTGAAGAAACTCAAATAACACTTCGTCTGCCATCGTCGCCATGTTGACGCCCCTATGTAAAATTAGAACTATCGACTTGATACGAAAAGTGTTTTAGCAATGAAGCGTTTTTATGATATGTATAATGGTTTTCTGGAATGCAATAATTTTTATGATACTTTTATCATGGAAACCAATAACAAAAGGCATTTATTCATCAAAGTTCTGACCGATCAGCAGAATGATATTGGTCCGTTTTTCGATTTCGTGAAATGTTTTTCGTTACGGTCCGGGAAGGTATCCGGTTCTCAAGATTTCTATAAATTGTGGATCATATTCCCCAAACGGACTTGGTTCTTAGAAACAATTTAATGTTTTGGTATTGGAACTTCGGTTGATAAGACATTCGCTTCTCAAAAAGCAACTGCATTCGTTTGGTGTGTAGATTTAAAAAATTGGACCACATAATTACATACAAAAAGTTGGGGATAAAGTTTAAGATGTTTTTAACAAAAATCAAAGACAAGATGCGACCAATTTTATTAAAAGGTACTAGTATCAACACTTGTGTTTCTTGACTTAAAGAATTTATTTATAGCTATAGTTTTATTATATGAGCTAACCAAGTCAGCGAGCCTTATAACTATACAATAACCCATCAAATCTTTTCCAAGTATTCATTAAGTAGTATAAAGTACAGACAAATATTTCTAAACAGAGTTTAATTAATTCATACTAATGTATTGTCATGAAACATGTTCGATTGTATTAACATATAAGTGAAAAATATTCTTTGATAAAACTACCGAAAAATTATTTTCCAAGCCAAACGCGAACTGTACTGTATAGAGTACTATCATATTTCGTTTTAGAGAGAACTCGTTCCATTATTTTGTGCCGAGATAGAATGAAGCTTTTCCGTATTATAGGTAACGCTCATGCTCTCCTTCAAAATGGCCGATGGAATGAAAGGAGTCGATGCGTTGCAAGATGAGCTTTTGCGTGCCAAAGACAAACTGAAAGATGTCAATGAAAATATAAAGAAACTCACAGGAAGAGATCTTGAAGAACAAAGGTGCAATGAATCATTATATAGTAATATCAAAACATGTAGGAAGAAAACTTACGCCAACACACACACACACACACAAACAAAAAATAACCCGAAACCGGCTTAGACCAATCTAAACTCTTTTATGTTCACACATCACTTCTCAGACTAGCTCGTAGTTTAACGTGCACAGATTGTCTTACTTTATCGAGTGACAGTGGCTTCTTTTTCTTCATTTTATGATCCAGCTTTGTTGGTTGAATATTAGAATTCGAGTTTTCAATCTTTTATTTTGCCATTAAGCCCATTTTCTTGAGACGGACTGCCAGTCACTCTTTAGTAGCTCTTCATGCAATAGTTAGAGCCATTGATACTGAAACATTTAGAATTTTTTATAGTAACCACATGAATCTGTAATCCCACAAAGAGTGGTACAAATGGCAATGAGACTTTTTGCTTAGTGATAATCATTGGTAGAGGGAGGTTTGAAAAACTAAAGTGGTAAGAGTTCCGTCCGTAACCCCCGCTTGAAATGTATTCTATTTATTAGGGTTATTTCGAGGGTTTAGGGTTAGGTTTGTGGTTAGATTTTAGGGTTAGGGTTTAGGGTTAGGTATAGGCTCTTTATAAAAAACATAGGCGTATATTCTTTGGCATATAATGATTAAAAAAAATACGGGGGTTACGGGCGGAAATCTTTCCACTAAAGTCGCTGCTGCATTATGTATGATTTGTTTCTGACAGTTTCAGAACAATAAGGGACTAAATGATGTTACACATAATATCAGTCTCAGGCTGGTGTTTTCTGGACCTAATTATTTACAGGAAACCCTCTATATTACCATGGGAATACTTCTAAGAAACTAAAGGTGGTGTTACACAATCAGTGGCTTATATTTCATTTGGATTGTGTGCTTTAGTGAGGATATATGTTTCATTTAATGCATCAGTTGGGATACCTGAGTGTTAGTGTGTTCATTTGTATAAGGCATTTTGATATCACCATATGGCCTAACATGTTAACTTTATTGAAGAGATGTATGCATGTCTATCGTAAGATCTTGTCAAATATATTATCCTGCATTGTTTCTTCTCTCCTTGAACATGTTGAATGCAATCAATTTATTGCTGTTGTCATTTATTTAGGTGAAACATCGTCTTTACACATTGAAACAGGGTGATGGGTTTGGCTAGTGGATAAGGTATTCCCTCATCAGATTAAAGGTTTGATTTCCAACTTGTGAATAATGCATGACTGCATTTTCTTGTGCTCCAGTTGAATGAGGTTGCTTGGTGTCCATGAATGTGGTGATAGTGAAGAATAGTAAGGTGGACTTATTATGATTAAAATGCATAGTGTAAATGTGTATTTTCTGTGATTGTCTTTCAGGAATTTTGGTCGCCGTGAATTTGCAAGTCCCGATGGAAGAGGTCGAGGAAGGTTCTCCAACCTTGTCCGGTGAGGAAACTACTGAAATTAAGCATCTGCTGTCAAAACTGAATGGAGAAACAATACATGTTTAGTTCCATACAGGCTTGGGGCACTGGCTGAATGGGGCACTGCAGTCCTCTTTGCAGAGTTACACCCCTTAAATATGTCAGATGATGATGCATTTGATTCTCAGATCACCCTGATCATGTTTACACTCCAAACGAGTACGTTGCACCGAAGTTGTAAATGTCTGAGACCTACATCATTCTTGACTTTCCTCAACAAGCTGATGTGCCATCATGCATCTGGAATACCATGAATACTGTTCAAAATTGCATTACTCTCATCCTGCTCTCCAACTTGTAGAAAATCTTCCAAGCTGACATATACGTCGTATCCAGTAGGTGATGTGATCGATGGAACATTCAAAAATCATTCCAGATCATGTTGATGTTACTGTTTCTTTCAGCTCCCTGTGAAGATCATTTCTGGTGTCCCCCCGACATGTTATTGCTGGAATATTGCTAAAAGCGGCGTAAAACCCAGTTTACTCTCACTCTTTCAGCTCCCCAGAAATGAGTTTGTCATGGTTTTGTCATATTTTGTCTGGTTGTCCATCTTTTTGTAACTGTTATATTTGTTACATATGAATTCTCACGGCCTACAGGGATTATCTGAACCTGCCGAGATGCTTATATTGGGCCCCACTGTCTGCAGAAATATCCACGTCCATCAACCATGTTCACAACTCCCAAAATGGAACTATTAATTTCTCATTTCATGTTGATATATATGACCGATTCATTGGCTGGAAACAGCCTGGAATACAGCGAGTATGATGTTCATCACATGTGCATGTTTTAACTTGTTCAATGTTCATCTGTTTCAGGCGTCGATCGGATGATAGCCCAGCGGCAAAAAGAAGAGGCCTTGGAGGAGCTTTTGCCAGGTTGTAACTTTTAGGGAATTATATTTATATGACATGTCACTTTGAACACTCTATGGCTTTTAGAAAGTTGTGAAAATGCAATAATGTCATATATGGGATTAAACTTTTGCCATAAAATACAGATTCAAGTAGTTTCCTGGGTTGCATCCCATCTGTACTAAAAAACCCTACTCTCACTGCTCAGAGTATGGCACCTATTCACCAGTAGACATTGCCTCAACCATGCCAGTTTCCACATGTCGGAGGAGTAGAATCTGCACTTTACTGAGAAAGTGTTATCCCAAATATAACATATGTTGACATGTCTCTGGTCTATAGTTGTTGTAGCAAACAGTGTAACCTTGTTAACTGGCACTATTCACAGTGATAATCTGCCATCATGTTGTTGTGACACGAAAACCTGACACTTGAAGCAGTATTCATTTCAACGTAGGTAGAGAACTTGGGTTTGGTGACACACATTTGGTTATCTTCACCATCATTATTTTTAATCTCCGCATATCCATGTGTGTTGATACATCACTTCGTGATATGATATGGGAGCACAATGGCCATGTCGACTGATCCATTGCAGATCACCTTGCGGAGTTATCACTAGAGTGTGCCATATTCCTATGGTAATGGGATTAAGTCCCTGATTCATCTTTTTGCTATTTTGGTTTTTTGAGAACCATTCCTGATTCCGCTGTTTCACCAAAATAGTAACCATCTAAAACCAGCATCACAGTGCGATTTCTGATGTGTTCAGTGTCTCAAGTGAAGTACAGTTGCAAGCAGTATCAAATCTGTCATGAATCCCTCTCACTCTGTGACAGTGTTGTAACTCGGTTCTTGTCCTTAGGCTGGGTCTGCCGGTGGGGATGGCGCAGCGCCGACAGCAGGAGGATAGCGGGGAGGAGGAGGATGGAGAGGACAAGGTAAGTCAGGAGGGGCCGAGGTCAGTCTTGGAAGACGAGGCTGTCGGGGTCAGATGTTCATATAGTATGGAATCGTGTTGGTGTAAAAGATCTGATTTTCATATGCTTCAACTTATGAGAATGATGCCAAAAGATGTTTTCCTCATACTGAACATTGAATGATGGGAATTTCAGGGATTACCGGTAATCTACATATCCCCAGATGCAATATTTATCTGTAAATAAACATGATTAAGAAGGAAATCTGTTTTAATTTTTGAATTGGAACATGTAAATTCTAAATTCATTTAGAATAATTATCACTGATTATAACCATGAAACCTAATCCTGCTAATGGTTCAATGTCAAACAGAATATATAAATATTCAATGTTGCTTAGGTTTAGTCATGAGAAACTCACTCACTTTGAAACAAAAGTGAAAAATAAGTAAAATATTAGTAAAAATATTTCACATGACTTTGAGTCTGATACATCTATTTATGGATTACCAACAACAACAGCATCCTAGATTTTCTTTAGAAGCAGCCATTGAATACAGACATAATGTATAAGTTTATGTGTGTAAATTGAAACTTTATTTCACCTCAAGAGTTTGCGAATGATCATATCGATGACACAATTTTCATACCCATAATCATACCCCCTGATCATAGGATTAAAGAGTGTAAGTCATTTGAGTGACTTAATGCATATTTTCATCATGTTAATGTATAAGATCTGCCTATTTGCATAGTAGGAGGTGCTGAGATGGTATGATAAGCCTTGTGTTGATGTTGGTGTTTTAGCCCGCTATCGCCTCAGCTGTTGTTGCTGCTGCCGGAAACAAGAGATCTCGACGGGACATGATACAGGAGCAGAGCCAGGACAGCCGCGGCATGGCCAGGTACAGATCCTCGTCCTCGTCACATCTCCTCCCTACATGTTGTCTCATTCATCCTTCACATTTATTTCAGAGGTTTAATTTGAGATTGACAGTTCTAAATTGTATTTGTGGTAACATGTGAATTTGAGGTGCTTGATATTGCTTTAAACAATACTTACTTACTTACAAAGTAGAAATACAGAGCATAGTCTTTAACACAAGTATGAGTCATGTTGATGTATAAGAGTCCCTTTGATATGATGTCTGTTCAACAGTGGTTGTGAAGTGTCAGATGGCAAAATAACGACATTTGGGATATTCTGAAATATATATTTAGACCACTATTGTATAAATGTTAGAAAAAAAAACAAAGCTCCTTCACTACAAAGAAATTTTTAAACTTATCCTATCTCACGACTTGCACCTCTCTCTCTTCATTCGACCATGAGTGGAAACGAATTAAAACTTTGCTCCAGGCCTACCTTGTCCCTCTCCTGTGCTGTGCGTGCCTTCCTGTCTCAGTCGTGCTCACTAGTCCATGACAGCACGAGGCATGCGCAGTCCTCACCCACGTGATCACCTCACATACTCATTCTCTTTCTTGTCGCTCCACTGAGTGGACGTGAAAATTTTTTTCGTCTGAGATTTGCTCAAAATGGTTAAGCCTGTTCAGGCCTGTAAACGGAAGTTTTGTGCCCGTTGTAATAAAGTATTTTCAGCATGGGACCCACACACATCGTGTGTTGATTGTGTGGGTGTTTGTGACTGGGACACACGCTGTCCGAAGTGTTCAGGTCTGTCTAATGAGGCGTTTAAATCTTACAAACGTGCTTGTGCCAGACGTTTGGCAGATAGGGCTAGGACTAATTCTGCGGGGTCTGGTCCATCTCCCGCTAAGAAACAATGCTTAGATCGCCCCACCCTCACTGCTAACCGTTCTCAATCGCCCGTCTCTCCTGACGAAGATTTATGGACGCTTCATCGGATTCCTATTTATCTGAGAACGTTAGAAGGCTTTTTAGGGGAGCTTCCCTCACCCAGTTAAGTTCTCATGAGCGTACCAGGGTGGTAATGACCGATATTTCTTCTACGCCAGACCTGCGATCTACGCGGTTGGATCGGCGTGGTTGGAACGTACCTGCTCTCCTATTTCCACGGCTGGGAGGAGTCGTTCGAGGTCTCGTTCACTTTCCCGAGCCGGCTCACCTTGCCGAACCGGCACACCCTGCCGAACTGGCTCACATGGCCGAACCGGCTCACCCTGCCGAACCGGGCTCACACAGCCAAGCCGGCTCACCAGGCCGAACCGGCTCACCCTGCCGAGCCGGCTCACTACAACATCCTCGAATGAGTTCAGTTGATCAAACTGAATCACGTAGTCGAATGGGTTCCTCTGACCGTACTGTTTTACGTACTCGTAGGGGTTTCACCTGACCAAACTGATTCACGTCATCAAATGGGTTCACCTGACCGAACTGATTCATGAATCGAATGGGTTCATCTGACCGAACTGATTCACGTAATCGAAGGGGTTCACCAGGACGAACGGGTTCACATTCCCGACTCAGTTCACCTCAACATAGGTTTTAGTTCGACGCACCATCTCATAGTCGAATCAATTCACCACAGCGTTTTCATTCCTGTAGTCGTTCAGTCTCACCTGGTCGAGGTGGTTGGCCATTTCGATCCGGTTCACCTAGCCGTACGGTGTGGTTTCGTCAGAGTGATTCTCGTAGTCGGTCTCATTCACTTCAGGTGAATCAGGATATCCTGTCTTGTCAGTCTAGACTCAGTAGCGTAATTTTGCGCAGACTGTAACAATATTTACTTGCTCGGGTATCCAATCGTCATGTTCCTGGAGCAAACGTCGGGAATGTGCTCCCTTATTAAGGACGTTTTTAGAGCATGTAGACATGCTTGCTCCCGATGGCTGGCTGACAGAGCTCGTTACGCTTCAACAGTTGATCACCCGACAAACCCCCGCTTTTAACGACCGGTTTTAACTGCTCGTCGTCCGCAGATTCCCATGTCGGACGGTGATAATTTTATGGGCGCATCATTAGATGTCTTCTTGTGGTTCCGCCTCATCAAAACGCTCTGTGTTGCCAGTTGACTCACACATCCGATCTACATCGTCAAAACGCCATACCGAATGGATTCACCACACCGAATCGGTTCGCCATACCGAATGGATTCACCACACCGAATCGGCTCGCCATACCGAATGGTTTCACCAGACCGAACCATCAAATTGCCGAACCGATTCACCACACCGAATCGGTTCGCCATACCAAATGGATTCACCAGACCGAACCGTTTCGCCACGCCGTATGTGAATACGACATCGACTCAGTGCGCCATAATATTAAGACTTTCTTATCGCCGAAACAGTTCACATCATCGATTCAATTCACAGCACCGAAACGATTCACCTCGGCCGGAACATTTCACCTCGCCTCACCGGTTCATCTGAGCGTTCTAGATCTCTACATCAGCTGAGATCATTTAACCGTTTCGGTTTACCGAACCGATCCAGATCAGTCACGATTCAGATCACATCGGACTGATTCAGATCACGTCAACTTTCCGGCTCACCACCCTGAACTGATTTACCAGCCGGCTCGTACCGTTTCACCAGGTCGAAAGCTCCCTATCGTCGAACCAGATCTCCTGGCCGTTCAAGATTTAATGTACAGAGGTAGTAGCTATGTGCTTCACCATGCCGATTTGATTTACATGTGATGCTAGTAGCGCAGTCATCTAGAGATATCACGCTCGGCACTTGACGGCCTGACGATCCCAGTTCTCAAGAGTCCTCCGTGACCGGGGATCATCTCATTCCAGATTTAATCTACCATCCGATCTTCACTTTTGATGAATGATTCGGTTCAACGATTCTACCCTTCGGTGTAGATGTCAGTTCTGCAACCACCCGATATGGCATAACTAGATACGCTTACTAGCCAGGAATACTCTACGACGCTCCGATGAGTCTTGTTACTACAGACTAATGGTAACAGCGTGTTTATGTATCACTGGGTGCAATTGTTGCAGATGGCTCGTCATCTTCAGCTCCCTTTGTTTTACATGATAAGCAAGTTTCTGGACAGATAACAAATGGGTGAAGTTCTTGAGCATGGTACCAGCAATGTTTTGTCAAATAGCCAGCATAGCTCAGCCCGGAATTTATCGGTTGCAACTCGCCCGGTTAACCAAAGCCCATGTTGTCCGTATTTTTTGTCACTCGTGTGTAACGTTTGCAAATGGCGGACTACTGTTTGTTTACCAGAATTTTGATGATTAGGGTGACTATGAAGTGCCCTTGCAGAATTCTCTTGGTCCCACGAATCGGATACCAAGTCCAGCCTTTAAATGCAAGTAACAACGAACACTGCCATTCCCGGTAAGAGTGAATGTGTCGGGATTTTGACAGCCAGTCAAGAGAGACTGCTTATTGAGGGTGACGGACAGAAACACCCGTGAACGGTTTGACTAGTTCAAGCACTGAGTTCAGAGGTCACTGCATTATGCAAGGACTGTCACCAGGCAGCGATCTACTACCTATATCACTCCACCTGGCGCACCATTATTTTGTTCGGACGAAAGAAACGTTCCTGAGGTCACCGATCCTACGAATTTCTACAATTTGTTTATAATGTGAACGTTCCTGTAGGTTGACTGACAATCTCCATGCGCGAAACATACTACATTGAGCACTCCGTCAGAACTGACGTAGCTGCTCGACTTATTGAACGTTCTTATATCAGGAGATATCTTTTTGTCAGAGGCAAGAGTGGTTAGGCCTCTCATTTCCCTCGACCTGCGATGGCCATGGGGTAGCCTAGTGGTTAAAGCGTTGACTCGTCACGCCCAAGGCCCTGGTTCGATCCCCACATGGGCACAATGTGTTAAGCCCATTTCTGGTGCCCCCCGCCGTGATCTTGCTGGATTATTGCTAAAGGCGGTGTAAAACTAAACTCAGTCTGTCAGTCAGTCAGTCCCTCGACCTGTGAGACGCCGTTTACCTTCACATCCGGATACATCCAGACTATCGGAAGTATCTTCGATTTACTTTTATGGGGCGTCATTGATACCAATGGAGGATCCTGCTGTATGGGCATATGTGCAGCCCAGTGGCTTTTTACTCCGATACCCATTCTGATAACAAGCTACCTGCATTGTCGAGGCGTGACAATTGACAACAATATCGACGACTGTGTTCAAGCCCAGCAGGGTCCAGTCGTCCTTCCTTTCCACAGACAGTTCATCATCAAGTTGCTCACGCAATTAGGAGGGCTGCTAAATTCAGAGCAATCAGGGGTAACACCGACCCGCTGATTTCTTCTTCTTGGGACAATATTCAACACGCCAGGTCATGATGTTTGTGCCCCAGGAGAGGTGGGACAAGATTCAGTGCAACGCACCACTAGTGTTGGTCCAACCCACACCTTTTCGCCAGTGGCAGAAGTTACTAGGGTGGTTGGCGTCGGCGCAAGCGCTGACTTACAGGGGCCAGCTGCAGCTTGCCCCTTCAGATGGTTCTGTGCCCATACATCGGGACGACAACCCCAGGGAGTTGATTCGTCTTCCCGCACAACTACATTCAGTCTTTCGTTGGTGGCTCAACAAGTGGAATGTTTGTGTTGGAGTCTCTAGGGTGCCCTTCATACCGACTCAACACCTATTCGTTGGCACATCTTGCAAGCTGGGGCGCTCACTTTCTCCATCAAGTGGCCTAGCAGTGGTCATCAGGAGAAAGGGCCCTTCATCACAACGAATTGGAATTCAGCACTGTCATTATCGCCTGTTCGGCACTCGGGACAACCATCAGCTTCAGCGCAGATGATCACCAGTTGCGATCGTTTCTGCTTTGTGTACAATCTGAATAAAATTCTGAATTTTATTTCTGATTTGTGTCTTCGATTCTTCTGGGACTTGTGAGTTTCCGATTCAATTACCCTTTCACCCTCCACGGGACGGTGTCTGTGGGGGTTGTTTCGAAGCAGGGGCTGGCCCGATACTGGTCGTCAGACCTGGAAATCGTGGTAATGCGACTGTTTACACTCGCTAAGCTGCGTCCTTTCACTTTCATGAAGGTAGTGACTGAACACCACATTGCTCGGGAATCCTGGTTCCTGGAGCACTTGTGTTTAGTAAGTCAATGGGTTCGAACTGACCATCGCAGGTCTCACTTTTGAGATGCTGGAGGGTCGCCACCTCACTTACTGTCCTCTGCTCCACGGAGTAATTACGTCAGTGAAGTGAGTCATTCCCGAAGTGTTACACTTCGAAGCGCTACCTTAAAGCATCGCGAAGAGCCGCCGTCTGCGTAAGAGACTGTTTATACCCTTGTCTATTGCTTCCAAAGCGGAAGTCTCTCGCACAACACTCTCATATTGGCTACGAGCTACAATACTACGAGCCTACACTTTTGCCGGTTTGCCACCACCTACGGCAGTCAACCCTCATGAAACCAGGGCATTGGCTTCTACTATGGCGTTGCATAGCAACTGCTCGTTAACTGCCATAATGGAGGATTGTTTTTGGCGATCTGACACGGTATTTTCATCTCATTACCTCAGAGATGTGTCGATGACGGATATTCAAGGCCTTCATCAGTTTGGACCACTCGTCCTTGCCCAGCAGTTATCAGTGGCACAACATCGCAGATAATGAACTTCCTTGTGCTTCGATGCTATATGGATCCCACTGTGCAGTTGATCCCAAGTCGCGATCGTTTCTGCTTGTGTACAATCTGAATAAATCTGAAAACCTTTTTCTGATTTACGTCTTTATTTCTTCCGGGATTTAGATTTCTCCTCTCATTTGTTTGAGACTACAGAGAGTCGCCACCTCACTTACTGTCCTCTGCTCCACGGAGTAATTAAGTCAGTGAAGTGAGTCCTTCGAAGTGTTACACCGTGAGCGTTCATGCTCCTAAGTGCCTATACACATCTATGTGATCTTACTGTGGTAAGTAGTGGAAGTCATTAGATGATGTTGTGGTACTGAACGTTAAAATTGTGAGTTTTACCGATTCAATTTCTCTTTCACCCTCCTCGGGACGGTGTCTGTGGGGGTTGTTTCGAAGCAGGGGCTGGCCCGATACTAGTCTTTAGACTTTTATTACGGGGTACCTTGGAAATCGTGGGCGATGCGCGACTGATTACACTCGTTAAGCTACGATCCTTTCACTTTGTGAAGGTAGTGACTGAACACCACATTGCTCGGGAATCTCGGTCCCTGGGAGCAATTGTGCTTAGTAGTAAGTCAATGGGTTCGAACTAACCCTCATGACGTAGTAACTTGGTAGTTATTAGCCTACCTTGTAGTTGCTTCCCACGGCTGTTTGGGCTTAACACTTAGCTGTTATCGCTTGAATTTCGGGTAATCTATGACCCACCTTCCTACCGTGGGATAAGTGCAAGTCGTGAGATAGGATAAGTTTAAAAATTTGAAAATTTTAACTATAAATTGTATATTTATATACTTATCCTATCTCATGCGATAAAGTCCCTCCCTACCTCCCCACTACATAGATTACCACCGTTACGGTTTTGTCCTTTTATGGCTCCAAGATCGAGAATGAGTATGTGAGGTGATCACGTGGGTGAGGACTGCGCATGCCTCGTGCTGTCATGGACTAGTGAGCACGACTGAGACAGGAAGGCACGCACAGCACGGGAGAGGGACAAGGTAGGCCTGGAGCAAAGTTTTAATTCGTTTCCACTCATGGTCGAATGAAGAGAGAGAGGTGCAAGTCGTGAGATTGGATAATTATATAAATATACAATTTATAGTTAAAATTTTCAATTCCATATGCTAATCGTTTCTGTGAGAAATGCAGATTTTTAGCTGCTGTGAAATACAAGTGTTTTGTGTCTGTGTTTTGAAGAAACAAGAGAATGTTTGGTCTTCTCCTTGGAACACTGCAGAGGTTTAAACATGAAGCCAAGGAAAACAAGGACAAGGTGGGTTCAGTAATAGCTAGCTGTTGTTGTAACTACATAAACTAGACTGGAAGTTGTCCGATAGAATTGGTGGTATTTGCACCTGAATTGTTGATTAGGACTGATCCTCAGAATATTATTAGTCTTTCACATTTACATCCTCAGAAGGTGGGTTTGATGCGGTTATGCTGAATAAATATATGTTTTCACAGGTGTGTCATTTCTTTTCAGACAAACTATTAGATAAATGTTTGATGAATGTGGCTTGCATGAATTATATTTGTTTGCAAGTAACAGTGGTGTATGGTATATTTCTACACATATCACTCTGCCCTTTCCTGTGTACTAGGGGAGACTCTAAGTGTATGCTGTGGGATATTGATGTACTGTGTCATGATAATCTAAAAGTGTTCTGACCCATGAAGATCCGGGTTAGAATTGATCTTCAGTAACCCATGCTTGTCGTAAGAGGTGGCTAACGGGATCAGGTGGTCAGGCTCGCTAACTTGGTTGACAGATGTCATCGTATCCCAAATGTGTAGATCTATGCTCATGCTGTTGATCACTGGATTGTTTGATCCAGACTTGATTATTTACAGACCACCGCCATATAGTTGGAATATTGCTGAGTGCGGTGTAAAACTAAACTTACTCATCTCACTAAAAGTGTACAGTTAGCAAGCCATTAAATAAAATGAATGAATCGTAGAAACACCCAGTAGGTTCATTACCACACACAGATGTATGTGAACTGTGGTGACACAGGTGTCTATCAGAGGCTTGTAGCTTTTGCTAGTTTGTATATTGTGCGTCTGACTGATCTACCTCTGTCTGTCTGTCTGTCTGTTGATGTAAGTGTTGCTGATGTCTGTGTGTCTGCAGGATGAACAAAGGAAGAAGATTGAGGAGAAGTTGGAGTCGAAGGCCAAACAGGAGAAGGCCCGACTTGTCCAGGAGAAGAAACAGCTGGTGCAGGAATTTGAGCAAGAGCAGGCAAAAATACATCGACTTGAACAGAAGATGGAGCTGGTCAGACAGGTGTGTATCAGCCAAGGTGCTGGGTGGCCCTAGTTGTGCCTTGATCTGGTATTAATAATGGGTTCAGTTCTCAGATTACTGTTATTATGATCCATGGTGATTGTAAGATTCATGAAGTTGATATACAAATAGGACCTTCCTCAGTGGGCTAGCACATCGTCGTGTAGCAGAAATCCTGTTTAAAGCAGTATTAGTGTGAAGCCTATTTCTGGTGTCCCCTCCCGTGATATTGATTGAATGTTACTAAAAGCAGCGTAAAACCATACTCACTAAAGCAGTATTAAACGCAACTTACATACAAGTAGCAAATTATCTGATAATTTTTGATTTCATATGAATCTGTGTTTTTTCCGGACATGGCATGTTAGGGACCATTCATAATATTTAGGGTGTGTGTGTGTGTGTGTGTGTGTTCCCATAATCCTGAATGGGCTACAGTAGCCCCCCATTTGACCTCACCTCACTATTGGGCCAGCGTGAAGGTCTGTTGTGAAGTGTCTATGACCGTATGTGTGTTATGAGAGAGGTTTCTTGTCACAGAGAGGTGTCCAGTTATGAGAGGATTCTGTTGTATTCAGAGTGTTGTTACAGGAGAGGTTGTGTTTCAGCATGACAATTGGGCCATGGAGACCAAGAAGCTGGAAAACTTCATCTGCACCAAGGCAAAACCTCAGATATTTTACCTTCCCAAAGGACTGATCAGCTCCACTGAAGCCAAACTGAAGGAAACTAAAGTTGTTGTAGACAGTGAGTACTGTGATTATTTATCACTACAGTTGTAACAGGACAGTGGTATATCCTGATGGGTGATTGGACTTACGTCATACCAACTGTCACTCTACAATAAATAGCCCAGCACACACGCTGAGGAGGAAAGTTTAACATCAACAGAAATATTAGTGGTCTACATTTTCTTTTAGAATTTGAACAAACATGATTACAGTCAAATACTGAAAAATAAAGTTTACTTTTCACAGCCTGGTATGGGTGACATGGTAACTAGGACATACCAGTTTGTATGAATATGTCAACTAAAGGTACTTGGCATGAAACTAATCATGCGGACTAGTGTGTGTGATGATCGTGTATGATGATCAGTACCATACTGAAGGCTTTCACCCACATCACTATTAAAACCACCATTATTCTGGACTTAAACATGGATTTTGAACAATAATTTGTTAATGTTAAAACCAATTTCACCCCTCCCATTTCATGTCATTTACATGTTACAGAGTAAAGGGACTCCGCCAAACTACACCTGTGTAGGGTTATTCTGTATCATGCTATATATGGAATGGTTGAGATGACTGAGTTTCTGATTTCAGAAATGATTAAGGACAGACGAGCCAAGTTGGAGGAGGAGATCGAGGACATGATGACTCGCGAGATTGAGAGGGAGGAGAGACTGAGGGCACGCAGGGAGAGTGGGGAGGGAGTGAGGGGAGGGGCACAGCGACATCAGGAGGAACACGAGGACCAGGAGGAGGACGAGGACGACCAGGATAAGTTTGATCAGATTGAGGAGAATGAGGTGGTGCTGGAGGAGAGGAAGAATGGTGACGGGGAAGTTGGGGATGAAAGGAGGGTGGATGTGAGGCAGGTGGTGGCTGCTGCAGAGGAGGGAGGGGGAGGAGGCGATGGAGTACAGGAAGAGGAAAAGATGGAAGGTGTGGAGGAAGGGGATGATGAGAATGAGGAGGGGGAGATTGAGTCTGAGAAGGAAAGTGGTAAGGCTTTGGAGAAGGAAAGAAGGCGAGTTAGGAGTGGTGAGAGTGATGGAGAGAAGAGACGGGTAGAAAGGAGGTCAAGGGATGGACAGGACAATCGAAGCATGTCTACGGATGGAGAGAAAGGTAGAAGTAGGTCAAGGGATGGGGAGGAAGACAGAAGTATGTCAAAGGATGAGGAGAAAGACATAGATAGGCCAGGTGATGAGAAAGCTAGAAGTAGTTCAGGTGATGGAGAAAAAGCTAGAAGTAGATCTAAGGATGGAGAGAAAGACAGAAATAGGTCAGGTGATGGAGAAAAAGCTAGAAGTAGATCTAAGGATGGAGAGAAAGACAGAAATAGGTCAGGTGATGGAGAAAAAGCTAGAAGTAGATCTAAGGATGGAGAGAAAGACAGAAATAGGTCAAGTGATGGAGAAAAAGCTAGAAGTAGGTCAAGGGATGGAGAGAAAGACAGAAATAGGTCAAGTGATGATGAGACAGCTAGAAGTAGGTCAAGGGAGGGAGAGAAAGCTAGAAGTAGGTCAAAAGATGGGAAAGACAGTAGTTCAAGGGATGGGAAAGACAGAAGTAGGTCAAAGGATCGGCGAGACAGAAGTAGGTCAAGGGATGGGAAAGACAGAAATGTGTCTAAAGATGAAGAACAGACTCGGTCAACAAAGGACAGGAGTAAATCGACAGAGGGGAAAGATAGGAGCAGTGAGAGGGAGAGGAGAAAGAGTGGTGCAAAGGAGAGAGAAAGACGGCGGTCAAGGAGCAGCAGTCGTAGCAGAGATCGGGAGAGGAGGAGAGAAAGGCGGAGTGATAAGGATGGAGAGAAGGAGAATAGGAAAAGCAGGCATGATGAAGATCGCAGCAGGAGGAGAAGTGAGAGGAAGGAGAGAAGGAGGAAAAGTTCCGAGAGGGACAGAAGCAGGGATAGGACAGACGAGAAAAAGAGAAAGGTTGATGATGAAACTAGACATACTAAGGACGATAAGGACAGGCGATTGAGTGATCAACGAGATGATGATAAGAGTAAAGATGGAGGAGCTAAGGATAGGGAGAAGAAGGACTTGGAGGAGGGGGAGGTGGATGAGGAGCGACGGACAGTAGACCAGGAGACTGGGCAGGAGAAGCCATCAGACTGAACCTCCACCAAGCAGCAGGTTACACTTGTAAATACTTCAAATCTAAGGATGTTGAATATTTTTAAATTAAGCATGTTAGTGTTCTGTAGAAAGTGTGTCGACAGAATTGTCTGAATGATAAATTCACACAAGAGATTCTGTTGATCGTTGAATGAATTTGTGTCAAGATGCTTTTCTCAAACATGTTTTAGTGATGAGGGTTATCAATTGTCTCTGAAGGTTTTAAATATTGTGGATGTAAAAGGTACCACTTAATTCAATTGTGTTTTATCAACCTGTTTTACTAAAAGCAGTTCATCAAATATGGAAACCAGAGAGGAAGTACGCTGAGACACTTGTGGCCATTGATTTACTGGATATCTTAGCTGAATTTTAGACTCAGGTTGTTTACTCATTCAAATTGTTCTGCATCTTCCTGGATCCATTTTCATCTGAATCATGTATTCATCTCATCAACATCAACCTTGGTCACATTTACACTTTAACACTGACCTATAGCAAGCAACTCCGGCAGACATTTACAAACTTTGACAGGAATACAATGCTACTCCCTAACTTTGCTGACATTGTCATCATTAACGCAGACTGATGGACAGTGACTGTAATTAAGATGATTGTAGGGAGACTTGAACTGATTACCCCAACATTAATATTGGACATCTCAGATCATGGACAGACATCATTACATTGTCATCTTCCCCTTCTTGGGTATCTTCGGTACATAAACCTCTTCTGTTCATATTTCCACTCACTTAAACATAAAACATCAACCTCCAATCTACCATTCTACAAGTTGTGAACGTTGTAGTTTTCATGCTGTGATACTGTAATTCCCTGCCTGGCATCCTCCAGTATCCTCTGTTGATAACAACATACAGTATAAGTAGTGTATGGTTATGGGTGGACTCTATACCATGATAGTCTATCCACGGATACTTGTAGGGTGTACTACAGATCATGTGACAATGGTGACTGGGATGTCGTAGTCTATCCACGGATACTTGTAGGGTGTACTACAGATCATGTGACAATTAGGAGATAAACATCATGTGTTGGCGAATTTCCGGGTGTTATTGAGTATTTGAAGCACAGGAATTCATTTGGAACCGACGGCGTCAGCCAGAGGTTTCAAATGAAATATTCCCGTGCTTCAAATACTCAATAACACCCGGAAATTCGCCAACACATGATATTTATCGACATTGTAAACACAAAAGTAAACCAAAAGGTCCACACACGTTTTTTGTGTCTGCTCTCATTGACATCGAGTATGGGTACAGCAGTGAAATGTCATCAGCCGGCCGTTTTGGCTGTCTCCCATGGTAGCATCTGGAACTGCTCATTTGTGACGTCATTCGGACTTTACGTCACAATATGATTTTAATGACGTCATCACAGCTGACCACGTATCAATACAATGGTGTGAGCGATGTTTGTATGTATTAATACGCAGAGAATTTCCGGGAATCAAATACCATTTGATCACGTTTTTCAACCAATCAGATTAAAGAACACAGTGACTTTTGGTTTACAATGGTGACTGGGATGTCGTAGTGCATGTCGGTGGAATCTGCATGTTAAGGAATGTGACCGTAATACGTGGTGACTGGTTATAATCAGTTAACACAAACAAATAAGTCAAATATAACAATTAAAGTTTAAATAAGTTCATTTGGTGCATATGATTTGTGGAAGTGCTTAATTAATGTGTTAAGGACTGACTGAATGATGGAGCTTAAAAGTGTATGTGTTTTATACAGAATTGTATTGTCAATTTACATACATAAGGCTCCATAGATAATAGACTGCTCAAACAAAGGTTATTTAGATATAGATATTGGTAGGATAATACGAGCATAAAAATTATGTTGCACATAGTGTTTTTGTATTTTCATAATATTATGTAATTTATTAATATAAAAGTTATTCCCTACTAAAGTTATGGATTAATTCCCAGTTAGATGTTTCCTCAGAAACATACCTTTTGCTTGTTCATGTTTGTTCATCATGTAGTGGATTGTCCTCTGAAGCTTATGTTCTCTCAGGCTTAATGGCAAGGGTTGTAACTTGTGTTTTAGGCATAATGTCCTACTTTCGTTCATTTTCACCTTTTCATTTCCCACATGTAATAACGCGCCAAATTTATAAGAAATAAACATGTAAGAATAGATTCTACTTGTTTGTACTTTTTACTGCAAAAAGGTAACATAAGCCCTCTGTTTTGTTCAGTTCTGACAGGAAGTTTAGCCGATTTCATTCTTATTATGGACCAACACAACACAAGGCCAAGGTTTGTTCATGAATATTCATGAATTTTAATGAGAGATCCTTAGGTTCACACATCAACCATTAGTTTGGTTTATCCAGGTTGAGGTGATATCTGGTCTCCTAACCAAGGTTCCATACCAATAGGTATCAGAGGACTGACACCTTTCGGAGTATATCTATACTTTTCACGTTGGCATGTTTAGATCATACAAGTGAATGTTATATTTTGAAAGATTCAGATGAGATCTTGGCTAACATTTTCACCTGTAATATTACTGGTTTGTCTGGCACAAACTTGCTATTTTGTACCATTCATGCTTTAGCTTGCATAGTGTTGATAGTGTTCTTTGGGGCGTTAAACCTTGAGCAACATACATACTTTGTGGACATAAAAATCAATATCAGAATGCGTAACCTCTTTATTTTGATATACCCAATCTGAAGCGTTGGTTACGGACATTTTATGTCCGCTTCTGTTACTTTGTTAACGGCAATAAATATACATCTCGGATTAACAGTAAACAACTAAGCTTAACCCAGGGTGTGATAAGTCAACTACACCCATACATCGGTCGGTGTGTCAAGACAAACAGTTGACAAAAGTACGAGTATGACTTGCTTAACCACTAATGGCCGCACATGGAAATCCGGGTGTCGTCAGTACCCAGATAGCATTCGGACGTTGGCCCAACGTTGGCAATGTTGGCAAAACCATTGCCAACGTTGGGCCAACGTCTGAATACTATCTGAGTAGTCGTGATGTTTACTGGAAGTTTGAAGAGTGCAATCCGCTGCACAGGAGGACCTGTCCAAGTCGTTGTACACATACTTTTGGACAGTAACATCATTATCATTATTATTGAGGGAATGTGTATTTTTCGATTCCTACAACAAAAGCATTGTGTTCACATCTCGTGGTGTGTGGGTTGCCAAGTGGTCAAAAGGCACTGCAATATGCAGAGCAGAGTTACGTCCCTTATGTGTGCCAGCAACCGCTGGCCGTGGTGTGGCATCAAGATATTGATAAGTTATTATCTTTGGTGTGTCTTGGAGCTGTATTAATTTACGCAGTCCTCCCATATTTATTGTTATAGTTGAATTACCCACTGACTCAAGTAGGTGCAAGCTGTGTGTTACTGCATGTAAAGCGCGATCCTTGTCACCATTCTCAAAGGGCTCGGTCGGGACACCGGGGAAGCAAGTTAATCATGTTCGTGTGTCATGATAAAGAAGGAGTCCGTCCACCAGGATCTGCTTTGCCAGGTCATATTACGATAAGTGGTACTAATTACTAACTCAGTAAACCGCAGGTGGATGGATATCTTATCTAGTACTTCTGGAGATCGCCGATAAAGGACAAGTTCATACTTCCTTGATCTCCAAGTGAACTGGGGCATGTGATGACTTCGTATGTACTTGGGAGGAAAGGAGCGAATGCAGTGAAATCCTCCTTTTTGTGAGAAGTCGGGAACAAGGCTCGTATCAATTTGCATAACCGACAAGTTAAATAAAATATCCGAAAACCGCCAGCTCTGCTTATTTCACATGTATTGACTTGTTACATGCTGGTGTCTGTACAACACCTTCAGCTATAAAACAGTAAGACGCAACAATATATTGCGAAAAGGGTGTTTTTCTCCATCGGTCTATCAACTATTGGAGTGGCACCCTCACGAACAAGTTGTCTTAGATCACGTGGTTGTGAAAGTTTTGGACATATCAGCTAATTATGAATTTGATCAATATGCGAACATAGGGTGAAGAATGTATGTGTAAACACACCTAAACTGTCCCAACTTTATGACTTCTAAAAAACACCAGATCACAATCATCAGCACCTTCAACTCAAGCACCCAGTGTTTCCAACGCCACTAATACAAGTAGATGACAAAACGTACTGTGTCGCTTTCTGAAGTACTGAAAATAAAAGTATTGAAGAGTATTGACAACCCTGCCAGGGATATTCGGATTGACCACATCAGGTATCCTCAAAGTCCGTTGCGTATAGAGAATCTCACCCAAGTGTCTACTGATATCAGTTATATCAACACGAGTTCAACACGAGTTCATAAAAATATCCGAGCCTTGCCGAATATTGTTTTAATACTTTTATCAACGAGTTGATATATTTGATATCAGAAGACACGAGGGTGAGATTCTATTGATCATCAAACCTCACCCTTCTTTAGTTTTCAATGAAAAATGTACATCTCTGAACACGGTACTGCCATTAGACTTGCAGTGCAGCGATGTCATAGCATTGTGATGTCATCAAGTTTTTTGACGTCATAGCATTGTGAGTCATGTAATTGATTACGTCAAACCATTGTGGTCGCGTGTAATTTATGACGTCAGGGCATTGTACAAAATCGCAGTCTCAGTGTGTGTATACATACATGAGCCATGGATTTCTAACAGAAGCGGTTCAAATGCATGATTGACAATGAATTAATTGCTGGATGCGGTTATACGTGATTATACGTGTGATAGTTTTGTTTTGCATAATTCATGTATGGCCCAAACCGATGGAGTATGGAATTTTACCTCACTTTCTCCGATCTTGTGTGTAGCTACTTGTCGTTTTCTGTTGAACGTCAATATTCTTTAATGTTGAAATTTACTTTCAATGCGTCAGAAAAAGTAAGAAAAATTGAATTTGACGAACAAACCTGTTGAGGTGTTTATTTATCACTGCAAACATACTATTCGTTTAGTTATGTCTCATATATGTATAATCTGCATTTAAAGTTGATTTGTTTATCGTAAATCTATATTTGCAACATGTTTAGATGTTACCCCTGTATTAGGTATGTAGGTGCCTCTTTTAGAAGTGGAGAAAGATGATCAACACATTTAGGAACTTCGTGGTTTAGACAGACTGCCAATGTGTTATTGTTCGAGGGGAAAAAACTGACGAGCGAGAGAATGACTTTAATCTGCCCACTTTTCCTGGCTTGTGGGATAGGCATCATTGCGGTAACATCTTCGAAAGATGCATTACGGAGCAAAATGCCGAGAGAAAAATACGAGGAAATATTTGTTTTGATATAAGGTTGTGAATATCAGGAGATTTCGTACATATTTGTGTCGATATTGGAGATTATACCTTTTTAAATGTTCTCCAAACAACAAATTCAAGATATTAAAATATATTATTTAAATATCACATTTTAAAGATTGATGAGCTGATATGTACACCGCTGATGAATTATAATCAGAGGTTTCCTGACATTTTCTGCGTCTAAACGCTAAGTTTAAAATGATTTCTGCAGAAGTATATGAAATTTTTTTGATAAGCAAACACCCAATCCTGTTGTTCCAATGGAACAGATGCTAACGTGCAACTTAATTAGTTCGACTAACAGTTCAGGTATTCCTGGAATTGATAGGAGTCTAAGGGAGTTATTCTTCTCAACAGGCGGTGTAAGTACTAACCCTAAGGTCGCCAAGAACTCGACGATAAGCAAGCCAACAGCTGGAGCGCGCCTGTTAGCTTTGATAGGGTGCGTATGGTTTGGTCGGTAGAGGGCGCACGCCTCTGTAGGTCACGGAAGCTGCGGCAGACGATTTCCGTGTTGTTTACGAATCGTCGTTCTGCACGTGGGATTGTGACTAGCAAGTATTTCATGCAGGGATGTGATGTAACTCACTCGTAAGTGATATTTTAATGCATGGCATTATTTTCTATTATTTGTTGAAATTAATTATCGTTCATGATTTGTATGTAGTGACAGTTCCATGGACGTACTGTTTCGCCAAGAGGGGTGGTATAATGAGGGTATATCCCATGTATGACTGACTTATATGTCACTTCTACATTACTGCCCGACGTATATCATATGACATTGATCCTTAATCACAACCAACGGCAATAGAAAACGGTTTCTTTAGATGTTTTGGCTCATCGTTTTGAGTTCAGGTTATATGCTATTATCGGTATATGGTCTCAACAATTGTGAAGCAGTCAGTGCAAATTTTCATAAGAAACATTGGTTTGTCAGTTTCCATTGAAAAAATATATATCACCATTATCGTACAAAATACAACCTGCATTAATGATTGATGTTTTGCTGCTGTAGTATTTGAATAAAGGAACTCCTTCAACCTGTAACAAATGGTAGTCAGGAAGCCTTGACTTTCATGCTTAATATTTGACACTATTCAGTACTGTTTTTATATTTCCATTTTGAATCAGGGGAATCTGAACATGCTTGACTGATTTTTAACATGGTTTGTGACAAAAGTAACATGATTGCCTGTTGTCATTCTCATTTTAACACTGTGTATCCTTATTCAGTTTTCTGTATACCATATTTCCTCTAATAAGTGCACGGTGCTTATTAATTCAGCATACTCTCAGATCCTTTGCTTAGGGGCCAGCGCTTACTGGAGGCGCTTAAAGTTTCAACGGAAATAAATGTAGATTCAGGGCTCCAGATAATTTTTCATCATCAGGAGTACGTACTCCTTATATGTCCAATACAGGAGTACTGGAAAACCTGAAGTGTACATTTAGAGTAATGAATGGACATTGCTACTCTTGTGTAAACTGGTCATTAAACAATAAAACAATACTTTTTCAGATAAATACGTCTGTAAATGATTCTAAGATCGTACACCATTGCTCTGGTGCTTATCTGCTACGTTTTCTAAATTATTTCCTACCGTATCGTCTATATTTGCTATCCGTACATACGCTGATACGGCCCTTATCTGGAGCCCTGAGATTTTACATTGGTATTTTATTTGAAAACTCCATTGTAAACATTTGGCACACTCGGCTCTTACTGGAGACCCGGTGCTTATTTCTTTAAAAATGTTGCTTTACCCCGGCGCTTATTGGAGGCTGACCTTTATTAGAGGAAATACGGTAGTCTATTGTGTGTCATTGATATTCCATACCAGGGCTACATACGCAAAAGTCCTTGTTATTCTGTTTGTGTGGTTCTGATGCAGTACTTGATAATGACAACACATGGTGGCAGAGACAACTGCTTTAGCCTAACCATCAAACCCTCATTGTCAATGAATACATGCAATGAGGACGCCTTGTAAACAACCCTAACAACAGCTTCAGCTTCACAGAATGTATGTTTGTGTACACATATGAAATACATGTTGTTTCTGTAAGCTTACTTGGCTGAAATACACATAATGTATCCTTCTTTTTGTGCAAGAACTGTGGTGTTGTGTAATATCATCTCTGATGATGTGTTGATGAAGTAGCGTCATTCATTGCTGGACTGATACAGCTTGGCAGTCAAAGAAATTAATTGCAAGTGAAGCTGATGATCCATATGTTTTCAAATAAGTTTATATAAAATTGACACCACCCATGAGAGTTTAAATGTTCTCACCGTCCTTGGATCAAACCTTTAAGTGTTATGTTATACTTTTAGATTAATCTCAGAATGCATTGAATTCATCAGAAGGAGATACTATTTCTAATTTTCAATGTAACCATTTATTTTAGTGAACTTCAGAAGAAAGCAATGTTCTTTTGTTTCGTAACTGTTATCAACCCTGACGCCTCTTTAAATAATATTTTACCACAGTCAGAAGACCTAATTTGTTAAAATCAAAACTGAGTGAAGTGCTTATCAGATTCATGTGCCGTTTTGCACAAAGTTGGCATTTGCTTGAAACCAATGTCCATGGAGTCCACAGTTAAAACAGGTCACAATTTGGAACCACTATTGAGAATCTCATAACACAAAGCATACTTTTTCATACAACACAGTATTGGAGGCAAACACTTTGTCACTAGATTTCGATCATACAATCCAGTTGAGAATGATCTACACAATCACCATACAGATGTATACAGGCAACAGAACCATTCTGGTCATGTGGAGACAAGCTGGGCTGATATTTTCACTCCAGGAGGAAGACTGTATATCATCTAGATGGTGTATATATATGTTACTGCTTTCACCTGGCCTGTCTCTAAGGATTAACCTGACCCTCAGACAGGGCAGCATGACATCTGGATGCACTTGAAGTGTCAGGTTACACTAGGTATGGATGCAGCAGCAGTAGGGTAGATACAGTGCTCTCAGCCTGCTTCAGTCTTCATGTAAGTCTTTTTTATATAAAAATCCCATCAGAACTTTTTTTTGTCTAAACGTTTTCACTTTGGAAACAGTGCTATGTCAATAAGATTTTTCTTCCAGTGGAGGGAGTTTGCGTTTTGACAAGAAGCAGATTGTGAAGTTATTTGTCAGAGTATAATTACAAATATTTATTACAGTTTTGGGTGACTGGGATACTTATTCAGTCTCTACATCATGTTGAAGGTGATTTCTAACATTGTGCTTACGGTTAACTGGAAGGGAAGTTGGCAGCAGTTGGCTTTTCTGGTAATGCCAGATATGCTTCGAAAATGTTTTTAAAAAGTTGAGTTTTGGCATGTAAAGGTCACCTTGGCACCTGAATGAGGTTAAGAAAACATATTTTAGATATATATTCTTTTAGAACCAGTATATGTGCAATAGAGATGTTTGTGCAGAACAGATGTTATTTTCAACATGGCTGCCATCGCAGCCATCTTAAACAAGGTAAGTGTGCAAAGCCAAATACAGGATGATTGGGTGCAGACTTGCAGCTTCATTAAGTTTAACTGTTTTAACTGTTTACTTGATGTGGGTTTCAGGTTTCTTGTCACTTATTAAAAGAGACTGAAACTACTTCAACTTGTTTTCATTTCATATAAACTATACATTCATTTGGGAAATGACTTCAAATGAGACAATTCAAGGAGAGAAAAAGTATTGCAATAATTGGTCACAATAGACTATCGCTATCGCAATAGTATTTTGCAATAGACTATCACTATCGCAATAGTTGTTTCCCCCTCAATAATTACCCCTACTGACCATGTGATATTTGAGGGAGTCAGGGGAAAAATATGTTGTTGAAAAATAAATGTTGGATGAAAACATTTGTTCTCAGGTTTTATGAAAATAAGTAACAGTTCACTGTACATGCATTGTGTTTTTGCAAATGTTTTGTACGTAAAGAAGTAAGGGTAAGGCACCTCTATTGAGAGAAATATTGTCTTTTCTTTAAGCACAATTTAAAAACACAATCTTTGTCAAACAATAATCCCTGGAACAGGTTGGTACCTCAAGGTGTTCGTGTATTAACCCAAGTATGATCTTGTTTTAATACTGAATGTGAGTAACACTAACATATATGAGAGCAGTACATTTTCCAGTTGATTAGGTGAAAATGTGATTATTAATGTGAGTGAGTTTTATGTCGCATTAAACAGTAGATTAGTCAAATCAAGTCCTGTCAGCTTGATGTAGGAGAAAAGCTGAAAGTGATAATATCACAGATGTTGGTGAATTCCATGAGCACAGGTTAAAAGTCCTAGAAACATTGTTGTAGCAAATCTGTGATTCTTAACTTCTAAAACTTTGCATGGAAGTGATCCTAGTCTTTAAAGTGTCTCCAACAGCCTGTCTCCTCATATACATATAGTGCATGAAACAATGCCTGAGGCTGACGTGATATTACTGAATTGTTGCTAAATGCAACATAAAAACATTCAGTTACTCTGACGCCTTTTCTGATCATTTATACCAGAATATTTGTTTGTGATATATACTCACAGATGATCATCTGTAAGATAACAGTGGAACATAGGTTTGGACGTACACCTCCAATATTTCAACAAGCTAATTTTGCTTGCTGACACATACATGCCATCTTGAGGTGGAGCGAATATCAGAAGAGTTACAGTATTGCATTCAACCTGTCACATGCGATGCCGTCACTTGTCGTTTTATCTTAGTTTATCATGTTTATTGACTGTCACACTCATAAGAAGGTTCTAGGTCCTGCTAGTACACATTGTGAGGATGCATGGGGCCATGTGTTTGTGTGCCCTGCAAGTATCATTACTATTCCCAACCATTTTTTATCTGCTGAGTCTGAGCAGCTTGAAACAAGTCTGTCAGCTGCCAGGGGGAGTTTTTTCAACTGCAGTGCCCATGAGCTCTGTTTTGCACTGTAATCTTGATACATGCAAGGGTTTGCCATTGCATATAATGAAAAAAAACCCAGCCTTACCGTATTTTGTTTCCTCCAACCACAGACATACTGTAAAATGCCATTTGTACCCAAACACCAAATGAACTTTCCATTACAATCTACAGTGGAGGACAAGCCAGCCTGTCACATTTTGATAGCTTTGAAATCTGGGAAACATTTTCTAACCGGCACTCAAGCTAAAAGACTGAGCAATATTCTGTTAATCACATTTAACAGAAGAAAACCTGTCAAGACACTTAGTAACTTCCACTGCTAGAATGTACAGATCGCCTCTCTGATTTCCACAATGTAATTCTGTATCGGTTTGCAGTTCTTGTGTATCAATACATGTCTTCATACTTGCATAATGAGGTGGTGGAAACTCACATGACTGGATATTTATTCTTTTGCCAACATTTTTTCAGTCAGTTGCACTATTTTGTGTCATGTACCGGTACATGTTTGGCAAATTCCGTGAAGGCCTGGGTTAGAATTGGTATTCACTAACCGCTGCTTGTCGTAAGAGACGACTAACAGGATTGGGTGGTCAGGCCCTCTGACTTGGTTTGCACATGTCATCGTATCCCAATTGTGTACATTGAGGCTCATGCTGTTGATCACTGGATTGTCTAGTCCAGACCGCTGCTATATAGTTGAAATATTGCTCAGTGCAACGTTTAGCAACAAACAATCAAGTTTAGCAGTAATATTAAGTTAATTCAGGGCAAGTAGCTATTAAGTTGGGTTGTTACTAAACTTTTTTATATGTGACAAGGGATTGAAATATGATTTGATACATAGTAGGTATATATTGTGACCAAGATATCATATTGTATCATCAGTTTAGTGGTTTCATCTGTAAACCAACCAGATGTAAAATACTATATTTTAAATCATTTCCAAAGTACCTGAATATATTGGTTCCCAAAAACCTAAAGCTAGGTATGTGCCTGAGGTCCAAATGTGCATTGCAGAGTTGAGTTCTGTGTCATGGGATTCCAGGTAGATATACATGTTTATCACACAGCATACCCCTCACATACATGAGGTCTTGATATCACATAGATCACCAGGCTGCTTGGAAGATGGTTGATTTGTCATCTGTTTTGTCTATCAACAGAAGGAATGTTGAGATTGTTGTGATAAACATGCATCCCATCGTGCTTGGAGGCTTGATCAAAGAAGCCGCCCCCTTTCCATGCACAATAGATGGTGCCGCATGTCAGATGCATCTTCCCTACACTGAAATATATACACAGGATAATGCCTCATATTTTATCTTGCGAATTTTACTTATTCAACATTATTAAAGATGGATTACTGAAAATAGCATGAAAAGTATGGTTATGAGGTGACTGTTTTCAAACAAGTCTGTTAGTATTGGGATAGCTGTCACATGAATAAGGTAATTGTAAGTAAAAGTTCAAAAACAAGTTATTAACACGATCAAAGGTCATAATGACAAACTAACCCATGGCTGGTGCCTTGATGACAAAAATGAGATTGAAAGGGATACACCTGTCAAGTTAGATTTCCTCGCAAGTGGCTCAGGACATGTAAAAATTCCCTTGAATTATTCCCACACTGTGATAATGTTCACATGGTTTTCTAGATGAAATGCAAAATGACCCATTTTCAGTCTGTTGTCACGGTGGGTTGAGTCATCTGGGAGATTCACCCATGGCAGCTGATTACTTCTGTCAGGCTGTCAAACAGCGTGGTAGAAGTGAAGGCCGAGTGCTCCTTTAACGTGCTAAATATTTGTGACTGAGTGCAGTTTTGCAATGCATTTGGTGTATTCCAGCAATATTACTTTGGGGGAACACAAGAATTTGGCTTTGCACATTATTCAAACTATTGGTAATATGGCTCATGGAAATCAGTCCAGAAAATGAATTTGATGGCAAACCAACACACCAACAAAACTTGTGATCTAATTAGCAATTGTATTCTAAAAGTGGCTTTGTTTACAGATCAATACAAATCACTTCAAAGGAATGCCAATAACAGTACAAAATAGAGTGGAAATAAAACTTCAAAGGAAGTATAGCATAACAACAGTGATTATACAATAAAGACAGTGTTGATAATGTTCATTGTGCTGCAACACTGGTCAAACTTCCAACATAGACCCACTGGCTGAGAATCCTGGGTGATAATGATCCTTGCAGAACTGCTGGTCTTGTATTGTGAGATGACTGACTGACTGACTGAGTTTAGTTTTACGCCGCTTTTAGCAATATTCCAGCAATATCACGGCGGGGGACACCAGAAATGGGCTTAACACATTGTGCCCATGTGGGGAATCGAACCCGGTGTAACAGGCCAGAGTATACCCCTGTCCCAGACTATACCCGGGGTTAAACTGGGCTAGCCCAGACTATACCCCAGGTATAATCTGGGCTAGCCTAGTTTATACCCCGGGGTATATTCTGAACTAGGCCATAGTATACCCCCCCAGCCCAGATTATACCCCTACAGAAAACAAGTGATTAAGGATACTACTATAATTTTATTGTACTTCTCACACAATTAAACACTGGTTACAACATTGAAATGGTCCGATACATTTTCCAGATACAAAGCATAATCAGTGTGAGTTTTCAAGCTGAAGCTGGCAGGGTACATCAGCCATTGCATTGACTGACCAACTGCACTGTAAATATAAATGTCACATTATAACAGACTGGCTGTTGACATAACTTCTGCATCTGTTGCCCACACTCCTTCTCGTGAAATTCCCAAATTAGTGACTACTCATTGACATTTTGGTTCAGGAAATGTTTTAGTTCATCATTAATGTCATTGTTCATATGCTGAACCACTCGATCTCGGATAGTGATGTGACGGTCTTCGGATCCTGTCAGGCTGTAACTGATGCAGCGTCGCCTTTGGTTCTGTATGTCCGTCGGGGTGCTGTCAAGTCTGTTGATCTTCCGTGATAAATGTCCTTTGAAGAGTTCAGGCCTAAAGCAGCAGCCTCCTCGAGCATTTTTGGGGATAGGGTTGAACAAACGGGTTTACTTGATTTGTTTGGTAGTAAGGTCTGTATGGCCGCCTGACTCCAGTTCATCTCTGAGTCTTTTTCGTTGCTTCGAAGCATGTGGTTTAATCTTTCGCATTTCACATTTGATTGGTTTAACACTTGTCAAAATGTTTTGTTTAATTTTTTTTAACTTATATGTTTTCTCTCTAAAAGTCAAACTAATTTGTGTCACAACAAGAAGGTAGGTATAAAATAATTCCACAAACACCTTGATGATCTCCATAGACCATCAAATCTCCCAAAACAATAATAGAATAATTCCACTTTTTACCATCTTAAAATTGTTATAAATATGTATATATGTTTTTTTAACTTTTCAAATCAGTTTTCTCTCAAATTTTCTATTTTTGGTTCCACCTCATTTCTTAATAAGTGTAATTCCCCGTCGCCGAAATACCTTAGTTAAAGCAGATAAAGCAGATAACTAACTACTAACCATGATGATATATCAGCATGGCTGGGTTACGCAAAGTCGAAAATATCACATCGCAGAGAGGCACTAAACAAATGCTTCATAAATTTTGTATTATGCAGTAATGTAAATAAAATGCACCTACAAATTCCTTTAAATGACACCAAGACCATTGCCCTGAGTCACACACTCATATTGAGTGAATTGTCAACATAATTTTTTAGGGGTATAGTCTGGGCTGGAGGGGTATACTTTGGCCTGGTCCAGAATATACCCCCGGGGTATAAACTGGGCTAGCCCATAGTTTACCCCGGGGTATAATCTGCTCAGGGGTTATTCTGGGCTGTTACCCCGGGTTTTCGGCGTGACGAGCCAACGCTTTAACCACTAGATGACTGAGGCAAAAGCATGCCCATTATATATAGTGTAACTTTCTGGAATTTTCAATAATATTCTGAGTGAGTTAGACAATGCTGGATTTTCCATTGTGGTTGTAGTACCTTGTAGTACCTTCCAGAACTCTTGTCTAAACATAGCATTCTGCTGGAAACACTGTTGCACAATGAATAACACTGCCACTTACAATGCTGCTGATTGGGAGAAACTGCATTACTGTGAAAGGAACTATGCATAAGAAAAGTAAGTACATGCTCAATAGGAACATATTTTCACTAAAGCTTTGGTCAAAAGGGATTCCACAGAGAAGCTTAGTCTCAAGTGGAATTTGACAATATTTATGATGAGTGGTGACGTTTATTGACTCGTGTAGTGAGGCTGTCTGTACTCCAGCTGCACCAAAGTTCAATTCATTTTCTTTATCAGTGTCCACTTAATATTTTACTTACAACTTACTAATCTGAGACCCATTTCATCAAAGCACTATGCCTGTTATTAGTCTGCAGGGATGTAGCTGGATTTACAAAACTTTGTCGCCTGCTGATCCCCAATAGTCTAGTGTCTACAGCAAGTATGAACATCTTGTAAAGTAATGAAATGAAAGTATGTACTCTACTGTTATATTTTATTATTTCCCTAATTACAGGGCTTTTCTATATCTTGTCAAGAATATGGTACAATAACTCTTGTTGTTTTTCCATTGTTAGCATTTGTGGTCATGGAACTCTGCGTCATGTTGAACCCTGCATCTGTTAAAGTATAAGTGTTACTCTAACACTACAGTCCCGTTATGAAAAAGTGCCCTGTACTGTAGGGTTTTAAAATCATTCTTTCACCTCTGTAAAAGTGGATGAAGCTTATATTCACAAAACTGGTTGCTTATGTGGTAAGTGTCAAATTGTTTAGAGGCTTCAAAATTAATTTTTCTGTTCCTTTTACAGGTGAATGCCTTACCCCTTACTATGAAAGGATGTGAGACTCCACCAGCACCCCCTCCCCCCCCACCACCCCCTCCTCCCCTGAGGGTGGAGCCTGAGGTGGAGGAGCCAGGAGCCATCATATGCTCCGACCATGTCTGCCAGTCGCCTGAACACCTTGGAAGGGAGGCCTACCACAACTTCGTCAATCATCCCAATACGTAAGTCATTTCAAGAACTCTCAGGTTAAAGGTAAATGGACAAATCTCGATCAAGCCCTGAAAGTATAAGTCAAGTCTGAAATCAGGTTTTAGTTTCTGTTAGATTATTAAAGCTCTGTTTAAGGTTCTTTGAAAATAAGGGACCATTCATAATTTATGGCTAGGGGGGTGATGATGATTATTATGAAGAAGCATGTATAATGTGACTGACCCCCCTAAAATTTATGTACAAAGTAAGTGACCCCACCTGCATGTTATGTACAAGATCAATCACCCTTCCCTCCGTCCCCTTTGCATATGTTTAAGCATATTTTTCCAAATCTTTATGTACAAAATTGCTGACCCCTCTAGTACAATTGTATAAAATTGCCCCCCCACACACACAGACACACTTCCCCAGAACAAAATGGGTGACCCCACTTAAATCAACCCCACCCACCCCACCCCCACACACACCAACAAAAACAAAACACACACCAGCACACACAACAGCGCACACACCAACACACACAGAGGCCATAAATTATGAACGGTCCCTAACACTGCATTTTTCACTATTTCATGTTAGTCATTAATACCAAACAAACTGTATGCCTAACTGTGATATCTCAGGGGTAGGCAGTTTTAACCAAAAGGCTTATTTTTCCTTATCCTGACTCATGCTCTTTTTGCTTGTCTTCTTCTTCTTGAGAACATAGTGGAACACTTGTATCTCCCTAATTGAAGCTCCCTTCAATTTAAAATCACTAATTAGTATTCACCACGAGTTACCTCCTTTCCACAAGCGCGGGAACGAGGGCGCCACCTCTACCCATGTGCCTCACTCTCTCCTTCTTCGCCCAGTGAGCTGGACGTGAGAGCGCCTGTGTCTCCCGACACACTATATCCTTTGAATTATATTTAGTTAGTTACCTCGTATAGACATCTATAGAGGTTTAGCTAGTATCCTTCAACGATTATATATTGATATTTAGTCGTTTTTCTACAGTTTAGTCACGGGCGCCGTGTTTGTTTCAGTGGATTACGTTGATGAAAATTCTGTACTATTGCAGATTACGTTTTTATGCTGCTGCTGATCCGCCTTTAATATGATGTGCGGCCATGTTTATTATATTCACATTGCAGTTGCGGTACTAATTTATCCAATTCTACCTTTTTTATTAATATTTACTTTGGCGCTTGGCACGCGACAGCAGATAGGTCGCGTATGCAGAGTCTAGTATGACTGATACACCGGAACCCCTCGCCAGTCTACTGCTGTTGGCCGACTCCCCCCGTGTGGTGTTCCGCTAGAGTGGTGGAGAGGTGTGGGACGTGAGTCCGCCATCTCCAAGAAGCATCCTGCTTCCCCAGACATCCCATCGCCGCAGCAGAAGACTAGAGGGTTTTTCTACTACATCTCAACAACCGAGACCGTTCCCATCGAAGTTTTGGGCCTGTATGATGATCAGCCGGTCATCATACCGGATGTACATCAAGATTGACCGATGTCGGCACAGATCAGCATGCAGCCTGATGTACCAAGCGCGAGATATCGCGATGATCGTCCTGAGGGTCCCATCATTACCAACACTCAAGCGCAGACGCCGCGACACCCAGGGCAGCGTCGACCTCTGAGGGAAAATCAACGAAGTCTACTAGGACTTTCTCAAGCGAGATTGTTCCAGCCGATGACCTGGACCTCTACGATGATCAGCTGATCATCATCCCCGACGTGACGCCACAAGAAACGACCGGTGACAGCTACAACGACATCAGCAGAGATCACCATGCAGCCTGATGCCTCTACACTGATGTCGGACGATTTTCGGTGGACCCTCCATTAACACCGCAGATAAAGCACCGACGACCTCGCCGCAGACCATCCCAGAAGACATGATGCCACAAATTATGAACATCATGGAGGACCAATATCTCGCGGTAGCAGGGTCCGAAGCCAGCGAAGGCTCCAACGTGAGACAGCACCCCAGAGGCACCCCCGTCAACGTAGCAGCCAGGGCGATGTCACCTTCGCGAAGGAAGTCACGGACCACCTTGACGAAGGACCTAGATGTACAGCCTTCGCGAAGGCTTCGCGAAGGCGGAAAGGACCTAGATGTACAGCCTTCGCGCGGCGGAAAGAACCTAGATGTACAGCCTTCGCGCGAAGGACTTCGGCGAAGGCAGGATAGATCATCACCTTTTGCGGTTTCATCCCTAGATGTGGACTCGGACCATCAGACATCACGGAAGCCTTCGCGAAGGTCATATCGTCGTTCCCGGACGGGACGCAGAGGAAGCCAGCGAAGGCATGCCGCGAAGGACACCTGAATCCAGATCATCATCATCTAGAAGGACATCGAGGGACTATACAAAGAGCCAGTGAAACTATCAACGTTCCCTCACAAGTCTCGAGAAGATCAACCCATAGACAAGTTGATCATCGATATCAAGTATAAGAACTACAATCGTATATTGGTTCTGTTGAATCCATGACGAGGCGTATGTTCGCTGGCCTAAATAGATCTAGAAGCGATCAATTAGACACTTATCACCAGACTTCGTAACGACTACTTGAATATGATAAGATGATCCATGCGCGGACCCTACTTAGGCAAAGCGCCGCGATCCCACATCCTGTTAAACACAGAGGCTGTTCACGAAGCAAGCTCATATATATATTTATATATATATATATATATACTAATCGGGCTTTGACTCGACACCTTCGCGATGGTCGCCAAGGCTAAGTAACTCCAAGTCTACTTCACCCAGAAGATCTAGAAGGGATGCCGAGAACCCGTAGCGAAGTCTCCGGCGTTCACCGAGGAAGTCTCCTCCAAGGTTTCCATATACTAGCCACTCGTCATATATAGCTACTCGTCAGTCCGTTCAAGGCGCCGCATAAGTTGATTATCAACTGTATGCCAGATGCCGTCTATAAGCCTACGCGAAGATAATTGCTCAGCTATTTACAACACAGAACGTCGCTGTATTATTAGTCAACGACATTTCATAGATCTTCACAGAAATCAACTATTCCGTATAAATTGCTAATATACAATCCCGGACGACGATACGATTATCTACATGCGTGACCATTACGCATATCTGCAGACAATTCAATATCGAAATTGAACAGCAGCCTTGTTACAGCGCAGTATAACTCTTAATCGTCAAAGTTTCTGAGAAGAAATATGTACAAGTTCAACGTTAATTCTACAATTATGACGATACATTCATGTATACAGTCTACAAGCTCACAACTTGCAAGTTGTTTATACCCTTATATATAAGGAAGTCGGAATTATATTCAAAACTGAAATTACTTTCCACGACAACCAGGAAAATAACCTACCCAGCATAAAATTACAGAGGCGAGATTTTTCGCCGGAGGTTTTGTAGCGGTTACTATTAACCCTCGAAACACGTGGTCACTTTCGGATAACCGGGGAAGCTACGGTGAAGACCGACGTTTATGCTAATATCAACGGCGACAAGAATTTATTCAAGGTGGGTTTTTTCCGCTACACGGTGACATCACAGCTGGTATTATACAGAATCAAAATGCCTTGTTCTGATTGGACCGCGAGGGACAACGACCTACACAGAGGTCGATCTCTATTCACAGTTCAAGACTTACGCCACAAGTGACAACTATATATCAGTGCGAGCAAAGCCTCATTACAGTCCAGTTAACCTGAACATTCATGATTAGACTGCCTTTCTTCAAGTTAGAGACCTCCTGTCAAGTTAAGGCGAGGGATCGGCAGTCAGGCGATTTTACATAAAGTTCAACGAGGACAGACACACCTGGTTGTGCACCTACATCATCAAGGACTTCGCGGCGAATTACCTAGGCGAAAGATACAAGTGGATCTAAATCCACAGCGTTTCAGACTACAGCTGAATTTCATCAGCGACTAACACAACTAGATGGTTAGTAAACCTACTAAACTTCTGTTTGGAGAATAAAACGGAAATTTCACGCCCAACCTGGGGATATGAATATAGTGCTCCAACACCTCACAAGTGAGGTTTATGAACACGCCTGGATGACATACTTGGACCCCATGATACGATGATTCTATCAAGATGGCCAGCAAGAGCACTGTAAATTTATCTCCACCAAACCAAACAGGAGGAAAAAATGCAACAGATTATTTTCTCTATCATCAACTTCACGCAGAGTGAAGTCTCATGTATTATATCTCCATTTGGATCAGAACTGTCATACTACGTGCATATGCGGATGGACCTATTCGACCCTCCATGAGCTTAATACTCATGATATTATAGCTAACTTCTACAATTGTTGTACACAAATATGATTGAAATAATGGAGGGTTTATTTCTGGAAATCCGATATGGTGGTTGCAAACCATTATCTGAGAGATATCACCACCGAGGACGTCTCAGGTATACACCAATTCGATCCCATGGTCCTCGCACAACAGCTGACAGTTCTCGGAGAAGATAAGTCAATCTAACAGATTTTTACTTATCTTATAACAATACTAAATAGCTTCATGCTATATATAATTTACTTAAGTTCCTTTTATCATCACAGTACTATGATTTTTACATCATACAATATATAAGTTAACAACTCTACAGAGTTTGTTATTATATATATTTACCTTAAGTTATTCATATCTTAAGAGTAATACTATGGTTACATGATAAATGCATTAGCTAACAAACTCTACAGAGTTTTTGGCTATTTTATACATAGCTTAAGTTAATTAAGCTAACAAACTCTACGGAGTTTTACTATTATATAGGTAACTTAAGCTAATTATACCTTAAGCATAGTACTATACTCATATTATTAAAATATATTGGCTAACAAACTCTAAGGAGTTTTGCTATTATATAGGTAGCTTAAGCTTATTCATATCTTAAGCTTAGTACTATGTTTATATCATATAAGTAGATTAGCTAACAAACTCTAAAGAGTTTTTGCTATTTGGCTTTAAGTATCATCATATTTCTAAGCAATATGGTTATATTATAACATGTATTAGCTAACAAACTCTACAGAGTTTTAGCTATTATATATGTAACTTAAGCTTATTCATATCTTAAAAGCAGTACTATGTTTATATCATATAGGTATATTAGCTATCAAAACTCTAAAAGAGGGTTTTGCTATTATATATTTAAGCTTAAGTTTTATCATATTTTAAGCTTTATGGTTACATTATAACATGTATTAGCTAACAAACTCTACGGAGTTCTTGCTATATATATGTAGCTTAAGTTTTCCTTCATAAGCTCAATACTAGGTTTATATCATAGCTAACAAACTCTAAAGGGTTGTTTTAAGCTATTATACAATTAGCTTAAGTTTTCATCATATCTTAAGCAGTATGTTTACATTATAAAGGTATTAGCTAACAAAACCCGGACGGAGTTTTGTTATTATATATATATAGCTTAAGTTTCATCATAACTTAAGCTCAGTACTATGTTTTTAACATAAAAAGTATATTAGTTAATAAACTCTAAGGAGTTTATTTTGCTATATACATTTAGCTTAAGTCTAATCTTATCTTAAGCTTAGTACTATGGTTACACTATAAACATATTAGCTAATAAACTCTACAGAGTTTTTTTTGGCTATTATATATGTAGCTTAAGTTAATAATATCTTAAGCACAATACTATACTCATATTGTAAAATATATTAGCTAACAAACTCTACGGAGTTTTGCTATTATATATGTAGCTTAAGTTCATTATATCTTAAGCACACTACTATACTCATATTGTAAAATATATTAGCTAACAAACTCTACGGAGTTTTGCTATTATATATGTAGCTTAAGTTAATTATATCTTAAGCACACTACTATACTCATATTGTAAAAATATATTAGCTAACAAAACCCTACAGAGTTTTGCTATATATATGTAGCTTAAGTTAATTATATCTTAAGCTCAGTACTATACTAATATTATAAAAATATATTAACTAACAAACTCTACAGAGTTTTGCTATTATATATGTAGCTAAAGCTTATTCATATCTTAAGCTCAGCATTATATCTATATCATATAAGTATATTAACTAACAAACTCTAAAGAGTTTGCTATTATATAATTAGCTTAAGTTTAATCATATCTTAAGCTTAGTACTATGTTATATCTTAAAGTATTTTAGCTAACAAACTCTAAGGAGTTTATACTAGCATATTAACAAGCTTAAGTCTATTAGTCTTAAGCATTGTATTAATGTTATATATACTTTATCATAATAAGTACATGGTAATAAACCTTTTATATGGCAGCTGATAAGTTAGCAGCAGGAATTCATCAGTTCAGTGCCTTTATGAAGTTCCCATAGGGTTATTACAATCATCACAGTTCAAATCACTAATTATTAAAATCCAAAGTATTAGATATTCCCACCTCCGTTCCGTTAGGATGCTACAAGCAAAAGAGCATGAGTCAGGATAAGGAAAATATGTAATTTTAGAGTAAAATTGATATTTTATACTTATCCTGACTCATGAGGTCAGCCCTCCCATCCTCCCCAAATAACACTTTGGATTTCCCTGTAAATTCAAATGTTGGGCTCAGTATATGAGGAGAGAGTGAGGCACATGGGTAGAGGTGGCGCGCCCTCGTTCCCGCGCTTGTGGAAAGGAGGTAACTCGTGGTGAATACTAATTAGTGATTTTAAATTGAAGGGGAGCTTCAATTAGGGAGATACAAGTGTTCCACTATGTTCGCAAGAAGAAGAAGACAAGCAAAAAGAGCATGAGTCAGGATAAGTATAAAATATCAATTTTACTCTAAAAATTACATATTTCTGTACAAGATTATCTTTCACCATTTTCTAATCACAATCCTATTTATACTTCTAATGCATTTAACACTGGCCTTATTTAGGTAAGGCATGTCTGTATTGAGCGAGATTTAATGCATTATCCCTGTGTCAGAGGGGATGCAGGAACTAGCTCCACCTTGGTGCACAATTCAAGGTGACTGGTGCTGTCAGTCAGTTACTCTTCAGTGTGGAGGTAAATACAACCATGCTACACTCCTCTGTGGAATCAAAGAACTGAGAACTCCACTGAAGGAACACATTATCTTTACAATAGGATCAGTATGATGACTTTCCAATGAAGAGAGTGTTATACTTAAGGCCACTGTAAAGTTACTTGTGTTTCAGGTAGCATGACTGACACATTGTTTTGCTTGCAATTGTTATCACAAAACTCATATTTTACAATTTTATATTTTGTGTTTTTGAGTATTAAATGTTGTTCTAGCTGGTTTCATGAACAAAAGAAACAATGCAATGAACATCAGTTCTAAACAAGCCACCCGTGGAACATTATTAAATAAGGAACAAACAACCAATGTACCTGCCAATACTTGTCCCTGGTACCTGAAACAAGTATTTCTTTCTTGGCCTTATGTCATTATGTTCTGGTTTTTCTGTTAACTAATAATGTGTTGATAATGGTGAAGACCACAGCAGTTAAATGGTATTTCTTATAACTTGTGCAGTAAGTAGGTTTAACTTAACTGGATACTTGTGATAACCTTTTTCATCCCACAGAAAGTGAAAGTAGAAGGGTAAACATGTATTGCTTATTTAAACACTGCTATAGAAAATTATGCTTACCATGTTATATGAAATAGGATCTAAATTATATTAGTATTTAATAATAATTTAATAATTATTTAATATTGTTAAATTTAACATTTAATTTACTCACTGGATTTGATCAAGGAAAATTATTGACAACTTTTGTATTTTAAAATCTCAATAAACATCACTGGAGTTAGATATGGAGGTGTTATTTAGTATTTGATGTTCTGAAATTTTAACATTGGATGATTCAAGCATTTGACAGTGGAAATTTAAAGGCGCCAATTTCTCATAAATATCTGCAAATTGGAAAACACGTTCTCTTCTAAATGAACCATAAATCTTACTCAGTGCACTTAAATCGTGTCACAATAAGCTTGGTTAGTTATTGTGGCTCAGTAGGGTGCCTCAAAAGAAAGATTTATGTTTTGATTTGTTTGGTGAGGTTTTGGCTATGGTTGTTTTAGTTAAAAATAAGAATAGCTAGATATGTTTACTGTCACTGGACAGGAAATACGTCATGGATTTTTCAGTATGTCTCATGACAGGTCACTATCTATTTAGCTATGCATAAAATTTTATATGTTTCTCCATGTTTATAGTATGTGCCATTATATTATAAGTTGTGACTAATTACATTCCTAAAACTAGTAAATGTAAGTTTGAAACAGAACTAAACAAAACACATTGCATCATGAGATTGTTATCTTGGCTATGACTCACCATCAAGTGGTAGTGAAGACTGCCCACACTGAAGCAGCATCAGATACCTCTAACATGCAGGGTTTGATCTTGTGCCAAGCTGCCTGGAATGTCACCCAACTCCAGTGAAACTTAAAAATAACAACAGTAGTTTAGATGGGACTGCAGTCCTGGGGCTCCTTTCACAAAGCACTAAGGTGATTGTAAGTCACTATGGTAAACTTAGAGCAATATTAAAGAATGGGAGTTAAGGTTAACCTAGTAAAGGTTGCTTCATGAAAGGAGCCTCTGCTCCATTAATATTTAAATGCTGGTGAATATGGCTTGGTAAAGTACTCCTTATTACACAGACAGTGCCTGGAAAACTAATTAAATAATTAAATATATGAAATTGTGATGCACTCAAAGATTAAATGAATTATTGGCAAGGATGGTGTGTAATACCTTTATGGTGTGGATGTTGACATACCTTCATAGGACTGATGTTGACATAACCTGATGGGGGTGGAGGGTGTCATAACCTGATGGGGTGGATGGTGACATGCCTTGATGGGGTGGATGGTTTAATTCTTGATAGGGTGGAGGGTGTCGTAACCTGATGGGGTGGAGGGTGTCATAACCTGATGGGGTGGAGGGTGTCATAAACTGATGGGGTGGATGGTGACATACCTTGATGGGGTGGATGGTTTAATTCTTGATAGGGTGGATGTTGTCATAAACTGATGGGGTGGAGGGTGTCATAACCTGTTGGGGTGGATGGTGACATACCTAGATTGGGTGGATGGTGTCATTCTTGATAGGGTGGATGTTGTCATAACCTGATGGGGTGGAGGGTGTCATTCCTAGATTGTGTGGAGGGTGTCATTCCTAGATTGGGTGGATGGTGTCATTCTTGATAGGGTGGATGGTTTAATTCTTGATAGGGTGGATGTTGTCATAACCTGATGGGGTGGATGTTGTCATAACCTGATGGGGTGGAGGGTGTCATAACCTGATGGGTGGAGGGTGTCATTCCTAGATTGGGTGGATGGTGTCATTCTTGATAGGGTGGATGTTGTCATATCCTGATGGTGTTGGATGATATCATACCCTGATGGAAGTAGATAAAGTATTTTCATGCATGCTACTCAGTTGTTATGTTGCTTACTTTCTTTTCAGAATTGCCAAGTATCTGGAAGGGCAGTGTTACCTGTCCTTTTACCGTCCAGTGCAGCCAATGATACAGAAAGGGCCGCTGTGAGTAGCATGCCATCAGGGACCATTCAGTTAATAGTGGGTGTTGGGCTGATGAGAATTGAGGGGGACAATGGATTGCAAAATTTGGTGATAGAGCTGGAAACAAATCACATAGTCAGGAAACAACTGGTGAATTTCAGTGATGGAGAAGTGTTAAGGGTGTAATAATCTGAAAAATCTTAGTCCCTTGTTTCATTCTAGTTTGTTGTGATGAAGTAAAGAAAAATACTAATTAAACAAAACATAGAAATGTATAATGTGTTCAGGTCTGTGAACAATATTTCATCAGTCTTGCATTTATGAAGGGCTCACTTTATTCAAGGGAAGTAACTCTTATGAACAAGTTTAGTAAGTACAATGTAGCTTCTTCTCAACCAAATTGATCTGCCGTCTATCTATTGGTAAAAGTGATAGTTGGCATGGTAATGTCACATTAGTTTTGGGATCCCTAATCTTTTGTCAATGACATGTGCATAACTTTTTGTCAATGATCATTTACAGATATCCTTTTGTGAAAAGAATCTAAATATTTTCACCATAATGTAAAGTTATTTCTGTTATCATTTGATGTCATGGAATTTCAAAGGAATTTGTCATAGGAGCATGTGATAAGATGGACATTTTCTCCAATGCACATAAGAACATGTGTTTAATGTTATCACATGTTATGGTTAGTTAAGTTTTAAGGACGACCTTTGCCCTTTTATCTCCCAGATGTGGGATGGTGGCACTAGCAATGGCTGCCCCCCTTCTCTCCAAACAGGATGTTTCAGCTGAAAGTATCTTTGAGAAAAGCAAGAGCAAAAAATATTCTCGCCAAGGAGAACTATTTTCGGGTGAGTCACTGAAAATTGGCAGTTGTAGAGCATTTGAAGAGAGATTACTTCTTTAAGTTGTCTGAATGTGGAATTCTGTTAATGGAGGAGTGGAACATGTATGTCACCTTGAGGTTAAGCATGCTGGGATCATACTGTCTGTACTAACTTCAGTTGGAGGAGAAGACATGTATATCCTTGTAGTTGGGGCGTTTGAACATCTTCCCATGATTACGGATATTTGAAAATATATTTTTCATTTCATATGTAAATACAGTTTATTTATTTATTTATTTATTTATTTATTTATTTATTTATTTATTTATTTATTTATTTATTTATTTATTTATTTATTGTATATAACAATGAACATGACAAACCCTTTGTGAGGTTGCTGATATTCTTGATTTTGTAAGTATGGTTAAATAATTATTTCTTTTCATCATTTTGTAGATATTTGAGTATAAAATATGTACAAAATGACTTCAGGATATTGTCTTAAGTATTAATTATGAAATATACACATGTTTTGGGTGTGTGTGATATTGTAGCGGACTGGGTGATCCATCTTGCCCAAGACATGCTGAAGTGTGATGCTGAGCAGCTGGAGATGAAGGAGGGGCGTGGCGCTGTAGTGTGGAAGATGCTCCGGGGATCGATGCTGCTGGTGCCGTATCCTTACACACAAGTGGGGTAAACCTACAAAGAAAACTTGCAAAGCAACATTGGAAAAGTTTTACCTGACTGGTAGTTTTTGAAATATTATTTTCCAGATGTATATATCTTAGTTGATATGGTCATGTTTCGTATCCATAATTTATAATGTCATATACCTTAGAATATTTCTTTATGACCCATTCCATACACATCATGCTGATTTGATCACTTGCTGTCCCGGATTCTTTTAGTTGATTTTTTGTGTTTCCAAACCAACCAATTCAGAGGAGTTTTGTATTCAGTATTCTCTATTTTCCTTTGAGATTGCAGATATAGAAGGCCAGCCAGGTACTTGAACCTGCAGCCTTTAAACATAGTTGGAAAATATTTATATAGATGGTGTATCAATGCATATTTTGAAAAAAAAAGGAAACTTTAAAACAACCCAATAGATGTATGCTTGTAATGTGGGAAACAGGTTGCACATTTAAGCCAAAAATGAGTGAAGTAATACTAAGTACTTAGTTTTGTCGAGCACAGGCAACCAAGTCATTTACTTATGTTTTAACCACAGTAGTATTGCACCCCCACATGCCAACACCCCACACCCTCCAACACCCTTCACCCCTACACCCACACACCCCCACACTCCACACTCCACATCCCCTCAATCCTACACCCACACATGCCCACACTCCTACACCCACACACCCCTACACCCCAGACTCCTACACCCGACAATCCTACACCCCACTCCCCCTCACTCCTACACCCACACACCCACACTCTCCTACACCCCCTTCATTCCCACTTTTGACCTCTTTGACTTCCCTCACACTTCCTACACCCCTTCACACTCAAGTTCCTACACCCCACACACCCTTCATCCCCCCCGCTTCCATCATCCCTACACCCCACACTCCTACACCCCTAAACCCAACACACACCCTCACACCCACATTCCTACACCCCACACTCCACACTCCTACACCCACAAACTCCTACACCCCCATACTGCATATTCCAGACTCCCTCAGTCCCACCCACAGTCCACACACCCCCACGCCTCCTACACCCCACACTCCTCACCCCCACTCTCCATCATTCCACGCTCCTACACCCATTCACACTCACATTCCTACACCCACACACCCCATCATCCCTACACCCCCACATTCCTACACCCCTCACTCCTACACCCACACTCCCACCCACACACCCTACACCCCACATCCCCCATGCTCCTACACCCCTCACTCCTACACCTCACAACCCCTCACTCTTACACCCACACCCCCTTCACCCCCACGCCCTACACCCCACACACCCCTCACTCCTACACCCACACACCCCCTACTCCTCACCCCACACTCCTACACCCCACACCCCTCACTCCAACCTCCTACACTCACACCTACACCCCTCACCCACACCCCCTTCATCCCCCACTCCATCATCCCTACACCCCCATCCTCCTACACACCCCTCACTCCTACACCCCCTCACCCCTCACTCCTACACCCACATACTCCTACACCCTACACCCCCTCATTCCTACACCCACTCACTCCTACACCCACATATTCCTACACCCCACACCCTACACCCAGTCACTCCACACCCACTCACTCCTACACCCACTCCTCACTACACACCCCACACCCCTCACTCCTACACCCACTCACTCCTACACCCACATCACTCCTACACCCCCACACTCCTACACCCACACACACACCCACACTCCTACACCCCCTCACTCCTACACCCCACACTCCTACACCCTCCACACCCCTCACTCCTACACCCACGCTCCTACACCCCACACCCCCACACTCCTACACCCACAGACACCTACACCCCACACCCCACTCACTCACCCTACACCCACACACACCTACACCCCACCCCACACCCCCACACTCCTACACCCACCTCACACCTACATCCCCTCACCCCACACCCCTACACCCACTCACACCTACATCCCCTCATCCCCACACCCACTCACACCTACACCCCCTCACCCTTACACCTGCCCACACACTCACCCCCTCACCCAAATAGAGACCTAGGTATGGGTATGGATGACGTTGTCATCCTGTATTTGTGGAAATGTCAGTAGCTCCTCACTGAGAGAGATATGGGTCCACCTATCTTCATTTGCCTTGACCTGTGAAGTTATGATGCTGACAAGAATCACTACCCCTGTCTGAAGAAAGGACACAAGGCTCATTGGGCACTCATTACAGGTTAGTGCCCATGAAAGTATTGAAGTTCGCCTAGCTTGGTAGCCAAAGCAAGTAATTCATAATGTATATCAATTTAGCACATACTTTTTCTCTTATTACATAGAAACAATGTCTCAGTTTAAAACATAGCGGAATGTAAAGCATCCATCTAGACTACTTCTAAGGCCACAACACACAGGCTTCCCAGTCAAGATCAGGATCAAATCTGACCAAATATGTGTTGCAGGATTCTTCGTGGTACTTGACAAGGCCCTTGAGAAGACTCTAAAGGACTACCTGCCCCCAGACCCGGAGGTGCCCAGATTGTACCACTGTAAAGATCCCAGACAGCTGGTAGTGGTGCAGCATCAGATCGTCAAGTCCTGTAAGATTGTGCATGTGTATGGACACCAGGGCAAGAGCAAGTACCCGCGCGTCTGGCCTCTAGATGATCTCCTTGCCAGTAACGCCAATCTGCGCGAGATCGACCCAGAGAGGGTCAAGGACATACAGGACTACATTGTCCCTGGAGGTGGCATAAGGGCTGGACTATGCGGCAGGATCGTGACAGTCACTGCCAAGAAATAACATCACTGCAGCTTTGTTTGCCCAAACAATATTGTGTTCAATGGTTATTCCTCAAATTAGATCTGTTATCATTACTTTATCTCAAGTTATTCTGAGATATTTAAAATGAATGACAGTTTGTAGTGATGCAGAATAAGAGGTTCCATAGGTCAATGAGATCAGTGTGCTACATGAGGTTTGATTCTTTAGTATTTTCATACTTGTAATGTTTTGACATTTGGGTTATGAAACGGATCCATCAACTTTCATTCATAGTTTCTGAAACTGTTTTCTGTTTCATTGATATGATTTTCAGGTAAGGCATTTAAACCAGATGTGTTTATACCAGTTGGGTTTGGGGGATGAAGTAGCCTGCCGGGTTGTCCGGAATACCCTATGTACACATGGTGCAGTATCCCAGTAGAGATGCTGTACACTCCCATTGCTGCCATATATTATGGGATACTCTAATGACTTGGTTAGACAGGTAACCAGGAAACTTTGCAATTACATGTGCTGAAAAAGATGTATTTACTCAGCGGATACACGAGATGGGCTTGCCAGTGAAGCTAAGATTCCAAACATCACCGGCATACATGATGATGATACAGGTCGGTTGATACTGATGATCATGTGGTTGGCCTTTCCACAAGGAATGAAGTTGGGTACTCCAAGCTTTAAGTCGAGAGTTACGTCCATGGCCCAAGAGGACCAATACTACCTGGGACCGGTGAATATTGCTGAGTGCAGCATCAAACAACAAATCAACCAACCAATACCACCTGGTATAAAATGTCATTGTGACTTGACCTGTAATAGGATGTTTTTAGATCTTTGTGTAACAGTAGTGTTAGGATCTGATTTCAATGACATGGACTGCAAAATATTTATTGTGTTCAACAAATTTTACACTATATATAACATGTAAAGATACACGGCATTACATATTACAATAGACTATGGTTTAGGATGTATAGTGATGTATAGTGCACACTGCATATATTACAGTATTTATGCAAGTCACTAGTGATACTGTGTGTGATGAGTACGTAATCACACAAGAATCCATGTTGCACAGTTTCCATATATTTGAGGTTACTATTTTCCTAACTATTTTTGCAGTATGGATATTGTGGGTATAAAATACCATCTTGCCAACCTTGCTTTATTGGCAGTGTTGGTATGGAAATATATGCAAGAAAATGGATATTACAAGGTGTTCCTTTGTACTGTGTTCTGTGAGTGTGAGAGCTTGACTCATCATATTTTATGACTGCTTCTTTTGATTGGCAAAACTTTACATGTGATGCATCAGATGTTTAGTGATGAGTTAGTGCAGTCATGCAGGGTGTTGTAGCAAAGTAGGGATTATATGGGGCTATTGATGTAGTTGTGTTGTGTTGGGTGCAGGGTGTTATAACATTGCTGGTTGTTCATGCACAGCAGGGGTGTTATAGTAAGATGTTGCCATGCAGGGGTGTTATAGCAACATGTTATAGCCATGCGCAGTTGTTATAGCAAGATATATTGATAAAGGGGTGTTATAGCATAATGTTGTAGCCATGCAGGGATGTTATTGCAAGACAGTAATAAAGGGTGTTACAGCGTAATGTTGTAGCCATGCAGGGATGTTATCACAAGACGTACAGTGAGGCAGGGGTGTTATATAGATGCAGGGGTATTATAGAGATGCAGGGGTATTATAATGTTAAAGATGGTAACAGTGTAGCTGATTATAACCAATTTGATGTTCAGACTATCCAATATCAATGATCAGTGTTTGGATGTCTGCAATTACTCCTGTAATTGTGGTTATTCTAGTAATACTTGTAACTGTCCCTTTTTTGTACAATTGGACATTGCCCATACCATTCCTTAAGATGGATTGTAAAATATGTCTGAGTTTAAATAATCTTATGAAGAGGTAAGTGTAGCCTTGTGTATAAAGAATGCAGAAAATATTTTAAGTCTAAATCATGAACCTATGGATAATGTGAGAATTTGATGTTTGCCTGTGACCAGGCAGTCTACATGAGTCTTTCATTGTTTTGCTGCAGTACAAAGTGTTTGTCTTGCAGAGTGAGCTGTGAAAAACAGTTAAGATGAGTGTGAATCTCTATTAAGACAAGTGTGAGATACAATTTAGACAGTAGATCGGTGGGACACTGTACAGATATGTACAAGGTAAAGTAGGTTCCATTCCTTCCCATAGTACATTCGAAATCTTCTGAACATTTCCGAATAGGTGATTTACTAACATATTAACTCCTGCTTTGACGTAAGAAACAGATATAAATCCTTGAAAACTAATATTTGAGGGACCATGTTCAGATATAACATTTTAGTTGCTGAAAGCTTTCTACTGAATATGTTGCAATCATAGCTTTAGAATGTTCTTGGTGTTTGGGTCAGTTGGGTTATTTTTAAAATAGAGTAATCTTGTCTCTTAAGAATGTCTAATATGTGAACTTCAGGGAGAAAAGAAAAGACTACTAAATAGAATTGAAATGAAATCATGATACAGAGATGAATAAAGTTACTTACTAAAGGTTGTATTGCATAACAACCAAGTGACTTCAGAGTTACCTCCCTTGGATCTTGTTCAACTTGTCAGAGATAATTCTCATCTTGTTACTATGGTCATATTGCTGTTTCATGAAATGCAAAATTACGCAATTCCAATTATTGCTTATCCTCATGTTGTCTAAATTATTTCAATCAGTTTGATGTGTGTGCTGTTGCTACATTATTGATGCATATGTTGTCTACTTTAACATGGCAGTGAGATGCAGTGTTTGCCAGACTGGGCTACAGTAGACAAAACCTTTGCTGCATACATTCTGTGCTGTTGTTGTTTTTATTGTTTTTCAGGCCTTTTCCACCTGAGATGATGCATGAAATAAAGGTTCCAACATGTGTTTTGTCAGTGTTTTGTCCAGCTGACGTGGCTGTAGAGTTAAAGATCATACTTAGTGAGATAATAAGGAGGATTGGATATTCTTTTGTGTCATGTCACCTGGTAATAAACAATTCTGGGTCAAGCAAACCATTGGTTGACAGCATGAGTGACAGTCCAATTTAATCATTTTTCAAAAGCATGAGTACTACATATTCTGTTTGCTAACGCAATAGGATACACAATATATTAGATTCAATAAAAAAAATTCGCAGTTGAAATCGATTTGAAAATTAGAACACAGATATGTAGTGACATAGGGACTTGTCTGTGTGTTGTCACCTGTCTTTTAATCAGTTTTCTTTTATAATCTCTCTTTTATTCCATTTCAATGTCAAATGTTCTCATTTCACTTTTTATTGTATAAATAGTTTTCGTCACGATATGGCTGAAATATTGCCGATGTGACGTTAAATAATAACTCACTCACTCACTTAATCAGTTTTCTGCAAGGAGCTACAGGGTTTTATTGAATTTACCCAGAACTCAAACTATTCTTTCTAACCAAGCTATACCAGAATGGTTAAGGGCATCCGGGTACATCACTTTGGTCTTAAATCTCACACTGAACTAACACACTGTCCAAAGCAGTGTTAAACCAAACCGTCACACACATAAAAATGTCAAGCGCTAACTTATGAAGCTGCGGTAAAATACCTGGGGCAATACCGCTTGTCAATGTCTTCCAGGTGCCCGCTTGGAACAAGACTCACGGCTGTGATAGTTTCTCAAGTTTTGTCTCCGTTTGTATGTCTATGACAACGTTGCATAATCACTTCGATGGTTACAATAGTACACTCTACGGAATAAAAAAGATAATAAACAAATCGTTTGATAACATTTGGCGACATTAAAGATCCTAAGTGCAGCATCATGTCGCATTAAATTAATAGGTAGAGTACGTATAATGCGAAAAGGGTACGAAAGGGAGTTTTTCTGTGATGGGAACGCAAATGGTAGGAAGGAGGTGGTCGTTATTTAGGCGGGCGGGTATGATTATCAGTTACCTATTAATACGCATTTTAATGACTTCCGGATGGTTAGTACATTATCGATTGGCAAAATCTGTGGGTAAGACCGTTGTGTCTATTCTCATTTTTATAGCGTTAAATGTCAGGAAAATTTGGAAGTGCGGTTCATGTGACCGAACCTTCGTAGAAATAGCTGAAATGACTTGAGGCCAGGAACAATAATTTGATTGCATTTGGGTGGCAGGTATTTACGTGTCTCAGTGCGTGTGCATGTGCGTGTGCCTCCATGTGTCTGCGCATGCTAGTTCGGACTTATGCCACAGTTTACCGCGGAAATCCCATTCAGACGAAGTAATCGCTTCCCTGCTGACCAGTCCTTAACATATTTCCATCATACCGAGTGCCAGGTAACAAGTACTGTCTCTTAACGTCTTATGGTGTGGCAGGGGCAAGGATCGAACCACCATTCTCCTGTCAGTTGCTGTATAGACTTGACAACAGAGTCGGTCCACTTAAGCAGACTCCTCGAGTATCTTGCTTAATCTCTAACCACTTTGGCCTTGACCAGACATTGAGAAGCATTGCACTGATCTAAAATATACACACTGCATCTAAGTGAGTTAACGTCACACGGGACCTGTTTGTGTTTTAGTTTAGACGTTGATGTATTGACCTGTCGAGCCAAGTGTCGCTGATTATGAAACATCTCAAATTCCAATCAGTTTGGCTACAATCACATTAACATATATGTTCAGAAGTAAAATGTGTATTTTATAGTTTCTCCCAGCAATATTCGGTAAATGTTTCTTTATAGTACCAAGGCTAGAGTGCGCGCACCTACTAATTTGCATGACTGCAAATATACATCTCGAAATCGGTTTGAGGTCGCCTTCACGATTATTGCACCTGTCAGCTACGTGGGTGCGTGCGTGCGCGCTTGTATTAGTCCGGATTTGTGCTGGTTTAACAGTGCCAGCTAAACCACTCGGAGACTGTGCTGACTGAGATTAGTCGTTGTTTTATCCTCTTTTGGTCGGGCACTGGCAGTTTAGCAACTGACCAGTACCACCTTTTAACGTCCTTGGGTGAGACGCCGCCGGTGCTGATGCTAAAAGGGATATCGGAAGAGTGAAAAATTACACAATCGCTACCCTTCTCCAAGTCAAAGAATATCACAAGAAATCCAGTATGTTGATCTGCTGATTGTTCAGTCATTAGAGAATGTAAGGTACATAGTTAATGTTGTTATGCATCGCAGTCAGGAACTGCACAGTTACAACAGGAGTTGAGGAACAACATTTCATTCGTACTGCAGCGTGTGAACCGGAATTGTAGGTGGTCCTATTTCAACGTTAAACTTTTTTTGTTTATAAATATTTTGCAAATCAACGATTTACACGCCTTTGCGTGTATTTGTGAAGCAGCACTCGCTGGCGGTTGTCTGTGATCGCTCACGTACAGTGCCTTATACCCACAGGCCTACAGTAAAGTCTAAATCGTACAATGTTAGTTGATGTTTCTTCTGATTATTGAAAGGGGTTGTGTCGACTTAATCAGATGTTAAATAGACAAAAGCTAGCATAGGCTTGGTGAGGGTAAAAAAACAGATCAGGGTGGATATGGAATTGGATCTTGTGATCAAAGGTGTCTGGCACATCCAAGTGACTCATCACGGTGTATGTCGATGCCCCAGATAACTCCCGTGTCCCCAACCAGGACCAGTAGCTGGTCAAGTCTGTTCCTATTACACCTTTGGTTGAAATTGAAATCAAATGTTCACGCAGTGCGGATACAATAACGCAGTCACAAACTCAAAACCACCCGATCCCTTATTTAGTCAGCAGGTTTATCTGAACCAAATCATTAAATCCGGAACGAGGTCTTTATATACGTGGTTCCGTAGAGACAACAATGAACAGGCACTGTGCCCTTAAACCTCCATACAGGCGTACTAGAGCACAACTGTAAATATACGCTGGAAACGTATAATGAATAGAGATTATTACAGGAGTAAGTGTGTCATACGAGCGAGGGCAACACATAATTTTGCACGAGTTTCGTGTAAGTCGTATGACATACTTGCTCGAGTGTAATAATTTCTTTATTATCCATTTTATTCATGTATATTTGTGCAGTAAGACACGATAAGTAAGTGTGACGCCCTCTTCATTGACTTCACTTTCAGTTGTTTAATGACGTCACAGACGACGAAATACAGAAAATAATTGTGAGGCAAAAGTGATATGTGCACATGTGCACATATGATACTAATGACACTGGTTATGTTTCACCATATGGGTAATATAGTCTGATAAATGTTGAGTGACGTCTCTTGTAATAATTGCGGTAATTGACAGTGGTGTACAATTGTGTAGATCGATGCTCACGATGTTGATCACTGGATTGTCTGGTCATGACTCGATTATTTACAGACCGCCGCCATACAGCTGCGGCGTTAAACATCAAACAAACAAAACACAGTAATGGATCTCGAGGATCTACGCCTGATTAACTGAAATGATGAAAACTTGAATGAAAAATTTGACAGGACGCAGTGTAACTCTATGTGTTCAGAAAATTCATCACAAAGACAAGAAGAGATATCACCCCTCCGCAACTCCCGTCCTCTAGTTTATACGCAATGAGGATTCGTATCCAAAATCAAGATCAATGTAAAGTTTTAGTGACTCGCACATTACTGTTTGGTCTTCCATTGCCGAGAATCACAACATTTGGTAAAAACATAATGTACTGGATTGTGGGAAATACGAGTGAGACCCCGGTCCCTTTGAGAGGAATTTAAACGTTGAATTAGATCTATTTTTGTTGAGTCTCCCATTTGGTTTATCTGAGCACGTAATGTAACTGTTCCGCTGCAACTGTTTTACAACACCGGCGATGTACAAACGCAGTGCCGGCGAGACACGGGAGTCTTTACGACTTCACGGGGACATACATCCCCGCACCGCGCTATAATGGGGGCAAACTGATTTTGTCCTGAGACGAATCCCTCGCGACTGAAATAAGAGAAAAATATTTACGCTTAAGACATCAGTCATAACTAAAATGTTGCTGAGGTCAGATTTAGGGTATGATTTTGGTCATGACACGAAGAACGGAGTGAGAGAGTGAATATGGTTCACGACAGGGCAGTTGGTAACGGTCATCACGTATTGTACCCGTGCGGGTAATTGAACCATAGAACTCATGTCTAAGACGTGACCAGCAAACCCTTACACAACTGTCCTACATTAATGTCTACAGAACCGGGTTGGTGTCTACACATTCTTCTGCACTCAAGAATGATAGTTAAATTGTACGTTCTCAGCTGTTTACATGTAGTTGAACGATTTCTAGATTCTTTGAACTCAATTACATTAAAAAAGCCTAAAATATGCGGCCCAAAATATTTCGGTTCTTGTTTTCAACGCATTTGAATATAAATGTTATCGGAGGAAAGTTCAGCGCACAACACACTGATTGTTAGAACAGGCTTTTACTTTATGTTAAAAAAAGATGACGGTTTGTTCTCTCTTCTTTTTGACAACATTATTTGTTTTTATATTGATATTTTTTCCGCTGGCATGTTTTGATATCACATAATCAAACTGTACACGTACTTTATATAATACAGCAAAACGTTGTTTTACAAGGCAATTGAGGAGGTGGGGAAGCCTTGGGGTTAAAGTGTTCGCTCGTCACGCCGAAGTCGCGGGTTCGATGCCCCACATGGGTACAATGTGTAAAGCCCCGCCAGTGTCGACCGCCGTAATATTGCTAGAATATCGCTAAAGCGGCGTAAAACTAAATTCATTCACTCACTATATTGGCGTCAGTCCCATGTCGTCTTCATACACGTGTTTTAAAGGTTGTCATACACATTCAGATCGTTTACTGTTTATAATAACCCCTACCATGATACATATTGCAAAAACGATAAACAGATTAGGAAGAACAAATAATCAATTTGTCAAAAGTAATTTTCTTCATA